GCAAGTCTGATTGAAAAGGGATTTCAATTTTCTTAACGCAGTTAGTGGAGGAGGCATTCAGGTCGAAATGTCCAGATCGCAAAAATGAATTTGAATTTCCTTCTAAGAATTCATGCATGGAGCAAAACAGACTGTGCATTCAGTTCAGTTACTAATGGAGTCGAAACGTTAAAATGGGAAAGATTGATAAATTGAATTCAGTTAGCAGAGTAATTGATCAGGTCGAAATGTTGAGATTGGAAAAATGAATTTGAATTTCCTTACGACCTCATCAATTCAATTTATTCATATAAATTCAATTCAGTTCGGAGAGCAATTGATCAGGTCCAAACGTTGAGACTGGAAAAATGAATTTGAATTTCGTTATGACCTCATCAATTCAATTTATTCATATAAATTCAATTCAGTTCGGAGAGCAATTGATCAGGTCCAAACGTTGAGATTGGAAAATTGAATTTGAATTTCCTTACGACCTCATCAATTCAATTCAGTTAGCTGAGTAATGAATCAGGTCGAAACGTTGAGACTGGAAAAATGAATTTGAATTTCGTTATGACCTCATCAATTCAATTTATTCATGTAAATTCAATTCAGTTCGGAGAGCAATTGATCAAGTCCAAACGTTGAGACTGGAAAAATGAATTTGAATTTCGTTATGACCTTATATATTCAATTTATTCATATAAATTCAATTCAGTTCGGAGAGCAATTGATCAGGTCCAAACGTTGAGACTGGAAAAATGAATTTGAATTTCGTTATGACCTCATCAATTCAATTTATTCATATAAATTCAATTCAGTTAGCTGAGTAATGAATCAGGTCGAAACGTTGAGATTGGAAAAATGAATTTGAATTTCGTTATGACCTTATATATTCAATTTATTAATATAAATTCAATTCAGTTAGGAGAGCAATGAATCAGGTCCAAACGTTGAGATCGAAAAAATGAATTTAAATTTCCTCATGACGATTCATAAATTGAATTCAGTTACAAGAGCAATAAATCAGATCGGAAAAAATAAATTTGAATTTCCTTACAAAGATGATTAATGCGTGAAATTCAGCCAAGAGCAACGGAAATGGTTTATTGGTTCTCGCTCCGTTAGTCTACAGTATTTGCGATCTGGAGTCTATAATCACCTTAATCGATGTGTTGTACCTAATTTCGAAAGTAAAGCAAAAATTCGAATCTGTCTACTACAGTACTCTACTGTATCTAAAGAGGTTAAAGCCATCGATGAAAGTGATTGTCAAGGGTAATTTTGATCTGTATTGAACTGCGATCGGCAAGAAATGGATTCTATCAAGGCGAAAGCTGTCATTGGTGATTACTACGGCATCCGCAGCACGGATAGAATTTTCTTTTGCTTGTGATTCAAAATAATATTATTAACAATTCTAATGGCATACTATGGTCATGACTCGATACTGTAAATTAGCTGGCCGATATAGCAGTTTAGGGGTGCACTCTATGCTTGGAAATAAGACATCCTTCGTCGAGCAATGACAAAAGCGGTCGGCCATTTTGTAAAAAGCAGACATGAGTTATTTGGCTGACAGAGCACCTTAGCCATCCTTGATTTTGCAATTTCCGAGTTATTATGTTTACCAGTAACCGTAATAGATGTATACTGCTGTGCTACTTGCTATCATAGGCTCGAACTAGTAGAACAGTTGTCTAGGCTTCAAAAAATTCTTCAATGTCTGTCATTTTTGAAGACATTCCATCGTTTGCTCACGGGATAGTACTGTTGCAAACGATGATGGCCTACGGTCTAAACTCTGATCATTAGACTACGGGCACCTTTTCCAGCCCAGTGTCTATGATTTGGAATGGTATCCAATGTGGAATAAACAGGATTGTTTTGACGAGAATGGCGTTGATGACCTTCCTCAACAAGGCCCATGTATAGGCGCAGCATGAACACACTTTCCGCGTAGCCGTCTAGAAAGGACTACAGAAAATGTGTTGATTCTACTGTAGCTCTAGTTTCTCCTCTACAGCGCCAAGGGGAATTTAGAAAACCACCTGCCCAAAATAGAATAACAGTAGAAAATGGCCATACAGTATACAGCTGTAGTTGATGCAATCAATCGTCCGTCTATCAATACATCATTATGCTAGAATGCATCGGTTGGTGTTGGTAAACTAACTATAAAAATTCATTAACAGTAGTTTACGGTTCGTTCAAGAAGTTGGCTACAAATCCAATGGAAAGATACACATCAATACCGTAAATACTCTTCCAGCAAGCATCGATGTGCCAATATTTACTTTGGACTCCATACTTGACAACCTCGATCGGCATACCACAATCTATTTGGATAGAAAAATGCATACAGGAGACAGACCTTGGTTTTTGGTATTCGTTTCCAACTGCCACTTTTCTATAAATAAACTGAAAAAATGGTGTACAAATAAACAGTCCATCTTGTCAACATGGAAGATCCAATGGATGAAAATGGACAACAACTACAGTATGTAAAATCATGGGTGATTGATTAAAACACTATCCATATTACTATTGGTAACCACTGTGTGATTTACAGCGATAGGTAAAAGTACAACGAAGGCTGGTGGTTATCCTATCCTAGAAGAAAAATACTGTGCTGTATTGAGTCAAGAGAGACGTAGCTGACAGTCAAGAAGAAATAGGAAAGCGTAGAAAAATAAAATTCCAGTGCAATATTGTACACCATGTTGGTGGAAGAGAGTGTGAAAAAAATGACAAGTCCTATTGGATTGGCAATAAAATAAGCGCATGGACTTCACTCTGGTGGTTTGGAAGATGAAAAAATGGATGCGATGGATATTTTCAATGATTTATTATTGGTTCACCTTTGGCGACATGGGCATAAAATCCTATCCAATAGTGACAGGGTTGTTGTTTCAAAAGGCATCAATATTGATTGAACAGTATAAAAACAGTGTTGAGCGGTTAACCGGTCACTGAATATTGGTGTAAAACATAAAATAGCACGCAATGATGGAGAGTAGGGATGGAATAGAGTAATCTACCAATTTTAGGCTTCTTGTTAGAAGGTAGCGTTGCTGATTGAACAGTACTGTATGCAGATGTAAAATGGTATCAAAATGGCTAGCGATCAATATTGCCTATTGCGACGCTAGGCCAATCACGCTGGATAAAGTTGGACAAATCAAAGTAGTCTGTTTAAAATCCTTGTTGATTGCGAGTTGGCTTCCGCTAAAAGCATACTGTATAGCAGTATTGATGAGCGTTAAATGCAAGGGCAAATTTTCACCATTGCCAATGATTGCAATAGTCCCTTTAGCAATGTCAATAAAATTGAAAAGACGACCATTGGAAATTCAAAATTATCCTTCCAATACGATCGTCGTATTAAAAGCCTGTCCATTCGACCTTCCTAAAGTATTCCCCACTCCATCTACTATTTGGCGAAGCCATCGCTGCTGATACTTTTAACTAGAGCACTACAATATATTGAGTCCATGAAGCCATGACGATTTTCTTGCTATTGGATATTTAGTGTCATAATTGAAGTATCACCAGCGATGAGGTAACCAAATGCGCTAAGTAGTTGTCAGAATTTAGGACGGTCTACTCTCGATTCATGTCCACTTGATGAACTGAGATGAGCAGCGTCTCTCTCTCTCTCTTGCACTACTGCCGCCGTAGTTTGGACATTTTAGCCATGGTCTTCCTCTACTCTACACTCATGTGTAATGAGATGAGCAAGTACACTACGGATTGAGCGCTATGCAGCGTCTCTCTCTCTCTCTCTTGCACGACTGCCGCCGTAGTTTGGACGTTTTAGCATGGTCTTCCTCTACTCTGCATTCATGTGCATTTCCTCTCTCTCTCTCTTTTACAGTACTGCAGTAGTTTTGGATATTTTAGGAGCAACTGCCTATTCTTCCGACTCCGAAGAATAGGGAGCTCTACATTTGTATGTGTCCACTTTGTGCACTGAGATGAGGAGCTGATCGCTGTAGAGCGCCACTCTCTCTCTCTCTCTTTTACAGTACTGCAGTAGTTTTGGATATTTTAGGAGCAACTGCCTATTCTTCCGACTCCGAAGAATAGGCAACTACTGCATTCGTATGCACTTTGTGCTGTGAGATGAGGAGCTGACCGCTGTGGAGCGCCACTCACTCGTAAATGGAATATCTAAAGATTGACAATTTATTAAACAGAATACGCTACTGTGTCTACTAGTTTAATAGAGTGATACCCCAACAGAAAGTAAAATTGCTTTCCTAAATACAATCCAAAAGAGGTGTACAGAGTTACTACGATTGTATCACTCAAATAATTTTCAACATCTTTCTTGCTGGACTAGCAAATCGTTCAGAATACTTTACATCATAGCTTAGCGTCCATTCATCGATGAAGCCATAGAAACTAGCCCTATAACTTGTATTAACTGATATCAATGCAGACAACAGAATCCATTTATACAGATCATTGTTACTACCATAAATTACTAAAAAATGGCGCTTATTTTCTGCATGCACCTACTACAAAGGGTAATGGAGCTTAGCATTCTAAAAAGCATGCACTACCATACTTTATAAATGTACAAGTATACAACAACATAATAACCAGTTCTTTCTACGAGTGCCATTCAGTATCATTATCCAATGATATCCTTTACTAGTAATTCATCATCAAAATTCCTTGACAAACCGTTATGAATTTGTCATCCTTGTTTCACTTACAGAAGATATACCAATCATTCATATCATACCATCTATTAAACTGTCAACTATAAGCACATACTGAATTGTAATAAGCTCTCAAGAACTGTAGGCACATGCTTAAATTGCACTTAAAAGCTTTTAATAATGAAATCAAAGATAAAAAATCAATATAAAAAAATAAACATCTGTCTCCATGTCTACCAGGTACGTTCGTACATACATACAGTATATTAATAATCGTAACATCTTATAAAGTAGCAAACTTGGGGATACAACGGTATCGTGTCCTTATTCACAATTTAATTTTAGCGGGTCTCATTTCCGCTCTAAATCCGCAGAAAGCATCTTCTTAAACTGATCCTTAACCGCTCCGATCTAGTAATAATCATCAACAGCGGTACATTTACAAAAATGAATAAAATCTTTGTTCAACTCTAGAATCCTTCCTGTAGCTATCTTTCAATAAGTACTCATCCTTCAAACTTTGTACAGTAGTGAGCTAAGAATAATGAGAAAATCCAAAGTTCTTGTTACTTACAGATACATCCTTGTTATTCTGTACGTAATACACATTGCCTACAAATTGCAATCATTATCATTATATAGCCCAGTCAGCGTATCAGCTAAGGTAAAATCCACACGATAATTTAAATTCATTTCAACTATACATACCTTGATTTACGGTTAAGCTTCTTGGACAAAGATGATCATTTAGCAACGTAAGTAATGCAATTAGGCTACAAACAAGAGCACTGATTAGTATTCAACCTTTTTTTGCAGAATAACGTTTTCAAGCATACTATCTACAGCAAACCTCATATCTTGTGGAATCGCATTCCACAATAATTTGCTATAAACATTAAGGATGCCAGCCTACAATTCATTAAAATAGAAATACTAGTAGCTTCTTTCGTGCTGGTCTAACTTGCACATGATGTATTGGTGATAATATTAATGTAGAGCTTAGCTATAAGCGCATCTACAAACGCGTATACTGTAATAATTAGCTTACTTTTAACATTTCGGTTATCAGTATATGGAACAATTCCTTTTGTATTAACGTCTACATTACAAAGATAAGATTACATTATATGCAATTAGAACATCTTTCAAATTATCAACAGTAAACAAGAAGAGTGGTATCAGTATCCAGCATTATGCTTACACCGATATAATTGACTCTTAATCAATCAAATTATCACATGGAGTGTTGCAATAGACAATCATTGTGTTTCCATAATAAAAAATAACATAAAAAGGAAATTTTCTACTTTATCATCATCTATCCAATCTTACATTATTATTATAAGAGCTCGTAAAGGCGATAGCATCTTCCCACTTCGAATAAAATATAAATGTTCTAAGAGCCATATTTTCACAGAAATCATCCTCACTATCACACACAGTTAACGCAGTAAAATTAGGAATGAAAGATTGACATTATTTTAATAAGGCATGGTATCGTAACGTATGCCAAAATCATACAATTGTAGCAACTTACCTTAAAAGTGTTAATTCTGTATATGCTGAAATCATCTCAGAGGTTGTTTCCTCGATACGACAAGGGTGTAGTGACGGCAAGACTGCACGTATCTCACTAAATATATTCTGTATGTTTAGGTTATTGTACGTTAGTGAAACTGTCGGTAAAAGTTACCATTGCTCATTTAAACACAACATTTTATGACACGAACTTTACGCTGACTATAAGAAAATGTATCTTCCATAGACTTGAACTTTTCATGCAAAATTTTTAGCAAAGGGACCTAACAAACAGTATATTATCAGTTAAGAATTTTTTAGAGAATAACTAGTTATGCAATTTGTATTACCAATGCAGTTGCTGACTCGCGATATAATACCCTACAGAACGTTCGAAATATTGAAGACTTTTTGTACAATTCCAGCTAAAAATTGAAATAAAACAAGGATAATTTAAATATTACCCACAGAGTGTAATGGGTAACATCAAATTTATACCATAAAATGCAACTACCTCGGCTTCTTCATGAATAACGTCACAATCTAGCAATGATTTCCAGTTTTCATTTTCCTCGATAATTTTTATACTTGAACCATCTGCAATTGTAAAAGAGGATTTGACGACTTCTATCTTAGACAAATTAGATTATAACGATTTCGCTAGTATATTTTACTATTTATGAAAAATACCGTTGCCAATCTTCATTCCTAGATATAAAAGATATCCTTGAATAAAGCTTGTTACAGAAGATGTACAGACTGCATCTATATCCTGATATAAAGCAACTAGGGTAGAAACAATAATATTAAGAAACGTAGAGTCAAGCGGAGGAAAATTTCATCTATTGCGGTGAACTACCTTCATTAGAGGTAGATGGCCCTGTATAAATTTCAATCAACATATCTTTAACGATATTTGGGAGGTCAATCTCAACATCTTCCTGTCAATGCATGATTTCAATCGTGAATTACATTTAGACAACAGAAATTGATAACACACTTCGTACCTTAGGTATCGCATCTTCTACTCCACTAATTATTTTCCGATGTTCTCGAACAATGTTTAAATAATTTTCGAATACTGGCACTGCATTTCATACAAGAATCAATTACACCATCAAATTACTGTTCTAGATTAAAAGCTATAAGAAAGCTAAATAAATATGATGGTATAAGCTCACCCATATCTAGCAAGAAATTTCGTTGCTTCTTAACAGGTTCAGCAGTTGTGGCTGCATAAGAAATTAATTCAATAATGTTATAAGGTAAATCTATATCAACTCTTACTTGTAACATCAATAATACCTAAGACAGACTGATAGTATTCTACGTAATTTTCTATATAGTTATAGGTGAAGTCATAAACAGTTGGAGGATACTGATAAAATATAAGAAGTGGATTAGTAAGTATTGTAATAATGATTTTTTTCCAATTAGTTTTTTAAATTTAGAGATTTGTACTTGTAAAAGACTAGCCAATATCAACGTTGGACTGTAAGGAGAAGATCGTAAACATTCTTGTATGGTCTAAGTAAAAATATTGAATAAATCAATAGCAATAATTTTGTACCTATACATTGATTACAAGAATAACGCGTAACTAAAACAGATTATAAAAGTTTTCTACCTCTTTAGATATCTTAGTCTCTAATGCTAAGGAAAAACTTTTCGCTGCATTTGTAGCCTACGAAAAATAAATCGCCAAAAACAATTCAATAAAATGCAATTTACGTGCATGAATAATACAACAGCCTTGCTTTAATGAGCCATAAATTAGAACTGATATCTTAATGGTTGATATACACAATCTATACCTTGCTTATAAAGTTGATTACTTGTCGATATGCAAGCTGATAACGAGACCATAACATGCTGTGTTTGATGGCCAAATTTAATTGAAAATTCTGCGTGATAGGAGAAATAAAGACATAACATTGCTTTATGAAGATGTTTTACTAGTTAAGTCAACGGAGGATAAAATTAACTTAAATTTCAAAGTGTTATTTTTAAAAATAACGATTCAAGCGAAAATAATTTTGAACCTCTAAATTTTCGCCTTCAGATACCACTCTTTCAAGTTGCTGTGCTTGCTTTGCAATGTCGACATTCTAGGTCAATATTGAAGTATATCAGTATGCGAACAGTAGTTGACTTTTCCACTTGACAATGCAAATTCTACAATACAGTATACTGTACAATATGACAGAATAGGGCAAGTCACCTCTAGTATGAAAATTCCAAGGCCAAGTAAATATACACCAACATGGGATATAGGAGAATTATATTTCCAAAGTTGAAAAATGGTATCATGAGGGGAAGGAAAGCTATCTGATGTCCATGTCAGTATTCCAGAGTTAATTTCGTACATCCTAAATAATAAGTTGCCATGCAGATATATAAAATCTATCTGTTAGTCTACACCATAAGTCTTGCCGAAACTTTATATACAGTAGTTAATATCACAAACCTAATTTGGCCATTATGTGATATAATACCAAGAAAAAGATTTAAGATGAAGCCTTGTAATCGATGTTTTCCGTTCACTACTTTCTTAACATCAGCGTCTGATAAATTGATGCTATATAAATAACTAATTTCCAGGTCACCTGCAAGAAATTGCACATGGCAATAGCAATATATTAAACATAAAATTTACCTAATGTTGAATTGAATAATAGCATTTATAAAGCCGAGCAAACCTTGCTCGTAAGTAAGTAAGGATACCCCACATGCGCTATCAATAATATATATTCTCTGTGTATCAAGGTCGACCATCACGTCTAAAATTTTACTAACTGTCGAGTCCTGACATGAAAGCGAAATTATACTTCGTTAAAGAAAGAATATAAAAGCAATTCAATATTTAATTAATGCATAGCCATAAAGTTACTAATCCTATCAGGACTCTAATACTAACATTGATCCAGGCGTACGAATAATGATCAATAATTGCGCGATAGTCCGATTCTTTAATATGCGATGTATCAAAGGTATCTTTATTCCATAAGTGTAACTACCAGTTAATGATTAGTTGATTGCGTTATTAGTACCACTCGTACAAAATATTAAGATAAAAGACATTTCAAAACCACTCAACAGTATTACAATTTCATACCAAAAATGTATTGGTTGCATCTACATTACTGAAAAGAATTAAATCGCATGGTTGCCTACATAGGATAAATTGAAACTTGAAGTTATGTTTGATCTCAAATACATTACGCAAGTTGAGAAAATAATAATTTAGGTATTAATATCAATCACGGCTACTTTTTTTTCATGTGTACTCAATAAATTGACGCCAATAGTTTCCCTTACTTGGCAACTATATATATGCCATCTTTATGTGGGTAAATGCCAATATCGGGACAGTGATGAAGGATAACACTTGCAGTACCAAATTTAACTGCATCATTAGCTAATGATTGGCGGAAATCAGTACAAGCATTCGATTACATATAAATCCAAATTAAAAGTTGTATCATATAAGCACACCCACGATGTATTTTTGGACCGAAAATGATGTAACAACAAGCAATAAAGGAACATGAGCGATTTGTATGTTAAGAATTGGGTTGAAAGTTTAATACAAGTACGATATAAATCATGATATTACTAAAACTTACATCGATCCAGCTTTCTGGTACAAATACAGCAATCCTCGTCACCTATTTGACCTTGTATCAATGTCATCATTGCGATCAGTTAGCAACCATTAAGTAATATTTTGTATTCAAAGTTATTGAAAATTGTACCAGATCGTCTTCTTTCGCACCAAATAATTGTGTCTAATTGACTGTGTATCATAACGGAAGAGACGGAAGTTCTAGTACTGGTGCATAGCGTGTACGTCCCTACATGGTAAATAAAAATTATAATATACGACGTATATAATAAATTTACTCTACTGAGACTTTCAGCCAAGTTAAGAATAAGAATAATGGATTGGATATTTCGATGCTAATACATTCGTTAGGATATTATTTCCAATAACACAGGAAAGCAATTGCATCCTGCATAATATCATGGAAAGTCACTACAGTATACATCTTGTAATCGCGAAAGTACATGTAGTTGTTGAAACCGCCACTAGTAAACTGCATTAAGATGGATTTACGGTATACGTATACATCATATATATATATAATGACACAACGCCGAGGCGAATATCTCCATTCGCATACCTGTACTTTTCCAGCAATAGTTGCGACCCACAAGTGTGTACTTCCATAATTCGGTATCTCCATTTTGGTGAACCTAATTATAGCATTTTTTGAAATAAAAATGGTGAAATAGACTACTACTATAGGTCATATTGGAGAAGCCAGAGTTTGTAACAGATACTGTCTGAATAATTCACAAATCTGGAATTATCCCAAAAATGTCGACTCATGAACAATGTAATTTGGCTCGATTTCGAGCATAGAAGAAACTTCTAACTTGATACTGTATTTTTGTAACATGGATCCATGCTGATCTATTTACCAAACTTACAATATAAATTTGTTGTGGATCTTCATTATGATAGCATACACCAACTACTGGTGATTTTTTACAGGGAATAACCAACTTGGCGGAATGTAGAATCTACAATTATGGAGAACAGACATGGATACCATCAGCTTTCAAAACAGTTCATCATATTTTCCATTGGTAAAATATTGAAAAATGGAGCAAGTGAAGATACAATTATGCCCAAGGATCATACTACATCAAGATTTATACCAGCTAACCTTAGCAGTTTCACTATCCGCTGGAAGAGAATGGAGTCGTTGCAATTCCTTACATCCATTTTTACCAATAATATCGAATGCATAAAAAGAATCTCCTAAGATGAAAAATACCAGCATACATTCAAGAAATGAATAACGAGTGTGGTCATCCATTGAAATCGATGTCAATCAAAGGATGACCATCAATTCAAAAAGATGGATTGCCATGGGTGTTCATTTTGAATCAAAATATCAACAAGGGGCGCTATTTATGAGCTATTACCGATCGTGATTGACAATCAAGTATGTATTGTAGATAGAGAAATGTACTGCTTGCAATTCTTTTTCTCCCCCACCGACATTTATCCTATTTTTCATGGAGAATACATGTAGCACTAAAGTAGTACATTACCGTTGATTAAGGTATAAAAATGGCCAGGAGTAGACCACATTGTGAAAGAAGTTATCACGATATCATCGTCGCCGTCTGCAAACATCTGATAAAAGTCCTAATATCGGAATGATTACCAATAACAGAAGAGATAGATAGAGACAAGAAATTACAGCATTGCATTGAACAATCAAGGCCTAGACAAGATCGATGATTAGAATGAATTGGAGAAGAAATTCATCCCTTCGCCATCTACCTTGTGCCCCTTGATATAAGGAAAATTATTTTGGAGTGGTGTCACTTGAAACATGATTGCGTCGCTAATTTCCAGTTCAAAGCATGCAAGAATCAATTCCAATCAAGATATACATTCAATAGCTTCCCATACTCTCTTTAACTACCACAATTTCTTGCTTTCATAACGTCGATTTAGACATTATTGGTAGCCAACATTCACTTTCTCCCTTCGATGGTCGATGGCTGCAATGCAGTGGTAGTATGCAAAGTTGGTGCAAGTAGTCTAGTGCTGCGATTTCCTCTTAGTTTAATGTCTCCAGGAGTACTGGTTACTGAGTGGATAGTCCATAGTACTCATTTATGGAATAAATTAAAGGAAATTGGGTAGGAAGAAAATGGATCAACTATCCTATACAAAGTGCATTAAATCTATGATATTTCCCATGTTAGATGTTGCATACTCTACTCTATCGTGTGTATTGAATAGTCCACAGCGTAGACGGTATAGTATAGGGTTTGCATGTTGAACAGGAAAGGTCAAATTTTGCTGGACATTGCTGATGGAGATAGTCGCCAAGGATTCTACCATCAGCATTGCAGTGCTATAGTGGAAAGTTAACAGTTCTACTGGCATTGGTTTGCTGCTGAGATTGATTTTCCATCATCATATCCAGCTAAATGATCCGTTCATTATCACGCTCTTTCCTTAGTGTATTGCAGAAAGGAACGTTCTTACACTATAGACAAATGTCTGCCAAGACCGCTAATGCTTTAGCAAAAACGACCGATCGTTTAATTTGGGTCGATTTAGAGGTAAGGCTTTACCACGATCGAGGTACATTTACGCTATGTAAAAAAAGCAATTACTGCATGGACGACTGGATTGATTGGTAATAGTTTAGGATGTTGCAGATTTTGTCTCTGACTACCATTTCTTTCCCCCTTTTATGTCCATAGATGACAGGTAGGATAGTAGGACGGTGCTTGTCAACGTAGATCTGATCCAATGATGTTAGCCATTGATAATTGAAAATTTACCATCAATATTGTCACTGCTCTAGTCGTATATTGTTAGTCATGGATGGATAATTAATCATGAAGCAATGTGCATACAGCTATATGAGTATACATCGACTATAAAATTGCTCTAGGTCTCTTCTTCAATCAACTATTCAACCAATACTAATAAGGCGATCGTCATATCCTCTACGTCTATCTATATACGCATTTGCACCACTATTATTTTTATGAAGTTAATCAAACTCTAGTCGTATATTGTTAGTCATGGATGGATAATTAATCATGAAGCAATGTGCATACAGCTATATGAGTATACATCGACTATAAAATTGCTCTAGGTCTCTTCTTCAATCAACTATTCAACCAATACTAATAAGGCAATCATACATAACAGTTGAAATATCCTTTCAATGTGATCGTCATATCCTCTACGTCTATCTATATACGTATTTGCACCACTATTATTTTTATGAAGTTAATCAAACTCTAGTCGTATATTGTTAGTCATGGATGGATAATTAATCATGAAGCAATGTGTATACAGCTATATGAGCATACATTGATTGTAAAATTGCATTAGGTCTCTTCTTCAATCCACTATCAAACCATTTTTTTATTAAGTGAATCAAACTCTAGTCGTATATTGTTAGTCATGGATGGATGATTAGTAATAAAACAATGTGCATACAGGTATACGAGTATACATCGACTGTAAAATTGCTTTAGGTCTCTTCTTCAATCAACCACGAAATCAATACTAATCATGCAATCATGCATAACAGCTGAAATATCCTTTCAATGTGATCATGATATTATCATCCACATTTATACGCATTTGCATCATTATTTTTATGAATTAAGGGTTGGACGTCAACTCATGCCATATCATAGAAATGGCCTGCATTATTACCGATGGCAACTTAAATATTGCTGCAGAGGTAATGATTATGGCCAAACTGTAGTATTTTGGGATCCAATCATGATTATGAACAGATATTGTGTGCCTATTTATACAGTATCTAATGCATTTATAGGTACTCTACTCTGCATTCGTTGATGCTTACTTTCCGTCATTATGTTAGGCTCCTACATTGGTTATCCATCAACCTGATAGTATTATGGATAATATGGATGAATGGTGCACTGAACATCATGGAAAGGTAAGCCAATAATACACTACTTGCTGCTGCTAGCGTGTGAAAGTAAACCCTTGATGAAAGTAATGTTAAACTACTGTATTTGCTGATCTACTGGCCCAGTTTGCATCATCGATGTTGGCACTTTTATTCGAGTATTTCATGTACACATCATTGATAGTGGCCTAGAATTGTTCTGAAGGCAATATTGATAGTCACTTTATTCATGGCATGTTTAAAATTGTCCATGAAAAATTGCCATTTTTCCTCTCCCTAGTCTGGGTTAACCAATGCTGTCAAATCTTCAACGATCTCATTACAACAAGCGGAAAATACCATGTTAGATTTTGTTCGTCAACATACATTACCAAAGCGCTGTCCCTTAGCTGGGAATACCGTGTATATGGATCAGAAATTTTTAGAGAAATATATGCCACAATTTGTCGACCACCTGCATTACAGAATTGTTGATGTTTCGACCATCAAAGAACTGTGCAGGTAATTGGATCAAACTTGCGCGATAAAATATATTGATATCCAATGCAGTTGCTAGTTAATGCCTCGCAGTAGCGCATGCTATTATCCAGACAAACTATCTGTGTATTTTGGGCTAAAAACTGGGTACTTGTATGTACGTCTATTAGGAGGTGGTATCCGAAAGAATTTGCCAAAGCACCTGCCAAGCCATGCAATCATCGGTAAGCAGTATTTATAACCTTGAATAATATTTTTGTTGCATCTCAGCTTGATCTTTGCAGCATGCATTGACAATGCATTCTTGCCCTTCTATGATGCAATAGGAGAAAAAAAGCGTCATTTCTTCTTGAACTAATGCTGGGGTATTTATTGCCTTTTCTAGAGCCCTGGATGATATTAAAGATAGTATTCAAGAAATGCAATTCTATCGATCCGTAATTTTTCGTTGAACGATGATGTATTTCTCATCTGTTCTGTCGATACAAAGGATAAGAGTGTAGCAATATTGTAGAAGTGTACATTGATCTAAAGCTGATTATTGTGCATCTTTAGAACTGGTGATGTACGATTATTTTAATGCCAATACAGTAGGTTTACATTACATTCAAGCGCCTAAAATGGCTGTAAAGCAATGCAACATGTACCAGCCTAAAAAGCATCTTGAGCGTGTGTCAACGAATAGACGTGATGAATGGAAATACAGAAACGACGTGTAATATGTTGTAATGACATTAAGCATGTTGTAGCTATGGTGTGATTTCTATCGAAATCCCTCCTGTTGTTGTAGCCGATTGCAATAAAGCCTAATTTTGATCTTCAATCCTCTCCGCTATTTTCCGCATCGCGTTTGATCGTTGTAGCATTTAGCTTTGGATCCACTTGATGATCTATTCAATTGTGCTCTACCATGGACTGCAGTGTGCGATCATTCCAAGGGTGCTTAATAGTTAGGGCTTTACCTATGGAGTATATTGTATTAGAGGCTGGACAAAATCAATTGCATACGGGGTTTTGGCAACTACTGTCCCTACTAATTATGCTATCCAATCTCTGTCCATTGATAATACTTTGCAGGCATTGGACTGCATTGCGCGATGATTCCATTGGTGCTCATTGTATAACCTTAATATATTGAATCCATGGAGTATATTGTATTAGAAGATGGACAAAATCAATTGCATACGGGGTTTTGGCTCACCTTGACTGCAACTACTGTCCCTGCTAATTATGCTATCCGTTCTCCGTCCATTGGTGATATTTTGCAGGCATTGGACTGCGCTGTGCGATTATTCCATTGATGCTCATTGTCAGACCTTAATAGATGGAGTATATTGTACTAGAATATAGACAAAATCAATGCAATACAGGGTTTTGGCTGATCTTGACTGTATCTACTGTCCCTGCTAATTATGCTATCCGTTCTCAGTCCATTGGTGATACTTTGCAGGCATTGGACTGCATTGCGCGATTATTCCATTGGTGCTCATTGTATGACCTTAAAATATTGAATCCATGGAGTATATTGTATTAGAAAATAGACAAAATCAATTCCATACGGGGTTTTGGCTCACCTTGACTGCAACTACTGTCCCTGCTAATTATGCTATCCGTTCTCCGTCCATTGGTGATATTTTGCAGGCATTGGACTGCACTGTGCGATTATTCCATTGATGTTAATTGCTAGGGCTTTATCTATGGAGTATATGGTATTAGAATATGGACAAAATCAATGCAATACAGGGTTTTGGCTCATCTTGACTGCATCTACTGTCCCTGCTAATTATGCTATCCGTTCTCCGTCCATTGGTGATATTTTGCAGGCATTGGACTGCGCTGTGCGATTATTCCATTGATGCTCATTGTATGACCTTAATAGATGGAGTATATTGGACTAGAATATGGACAAAATCAATTCAATACAGGATTTTGGCTCATCTTGATTGCATCTACTGTCCTTGCTAATTATGCTATCCGTTCTCCGTCCATTGGTGATACTTTGCAGGCACTGGACTGCATTGGGCGATTATTCCATTGGTGCTCATTGTATGACCTTAAAATATTGAATCTATGGAGTATATTGTATTAGAAGATGGACAAAATCAATTTCATACGGGGTTTTGGCTCATCTTGACTGCATCTACTGTCACTGTGCGATCATTCCATAGGTGCTGATTGCATGATCTTCATTAATCTATGGAATAGATTGATTGGTAATAGAATATGGACAAAGTCAATGAATTCAATGCAGGATTTTGCTTCATTTTGACTGCATATACAGTACTGGCCAGCAGCAACTCTGAACCATGATATTGCTCATTGATCACCCATGGCGTTACTGTTCACAATTGCACCGTAGTTGGGACAATCCAATGCACTAAAGCTACTCGACTCAGTCAGTCGACTATACTGTACTGTAGTGCATGTCAAGACTCTACTCCGAGGACAAAGTCGATGTTTTTCCTGCTTGCTGGAGAGACTAGTAAGTTTATAACAAAAAAGGGAAGTAAGAATACTTGGCTCAAACTATCGTATTGATTAATGAAGTTGAAGGAGTGATAAGTTTTCTTTGAACGCGGCACCAGTTTATGAAAAGTTGCTGAAGCATAGCTGCAAGTCTGCAACTATCGTTACAGTACTGTAGTATGTGTAGAATTGCACCGTAGTTGGATAATCCAGTGCACTAAAGCTACTCGACTATACTGTAGTGCATGTCAAGACTCTACTCCCAAGACAAAGTCAATGTTTTTACTGCTTGCTGGAGAGACTAGTAAGTTTATAACAAAAAAGGGAAGTAAGAATACTTGGCTCAAACTATCGTATTGATTAATGAAGTTGAAGGAGTGATAAGTTTTCTTTGAACGCGGTACCAGTTTATGAAAAGTTGCTGAAGCATAGCTGCAAGTCTGCAACTATCGTTACTGTACAGTACAGTAGTATGTGTAGAATTGCACCGCAGTTGGATAATCCAGTGCAGTAAAGCTACTCGACTACACTGTAGTGCATGTCAAGACTCTACTCCCAAGACAAAGTCAATGTTTTTCCTGCTTGCTGGAGAGACTAGCAAGTTTATAACATAAAAGGAAAGTAAGAATACTTGGCTCAAACTATCATATTAATGAATAAAGTAAAGTTAAAGTAGGCACAAGTTTTCTTTGAACGCGCCAGTTTATGAAAAGTTGTTGAAGCATAGCTGCAACTATCGTTACTGTAGTACAATTGCACCGTAGTTGGATAATCCAATGTTTTTCCTGCTTGCTGGAGAGACTAGCAAGTTTATAACATAAAAGGAAAGTAAGAATACTTGGCTCAAACTATCATATTAATGAATAAAGTAAAGTTAAAGTAGGCACAAGTTTTCTTTGAACGCGCCAGTTTCTGAAAAGTTGTTGAAGCATAGCTGCAACTATCGTTACTGTAGTACAATTGCACCGTAGTTGGATAATCCAATGTTTTTCCTGCTTGCTGGAGAGACTAGCAAGTTTATAACATAAAAGGAAAGTAAGAATACTTGGCTCAAACTATCATATTAATTAATGAATAAAGTTAAAGTAGGCACAAATTTTCTTTGAACCCGCCAGCCGGTGAAAAGTTGTTGAAGCATAGCTGCACCTATCGTACCGATTGGTACCGATTGGTTCCGTTTAGGCTAGTTCCGATACGGTACGGTACCGTGGATCGTCTACGTAGTACAGTACACAGTACTGTACAGTAGAGATCCTTGCAGACTGTAGTACAGTACTTGAACGATTTGTACTGTACAATACTGTCCTGTGGCAGTCCCGGTACGGTACGGCACGGTACGGTTCAGTCGAGTCATTGTTGATCACATGATCTTTGACCTCGACAGCACAAATTGGCTTGTACTGTTGAGTATGGAAGCAATCCATGTCGTCCACTGTATTGTTTTGTATGAACGCTACGTAGCGTATGGGGGAGTAGAGAGCAGGGGTTGTTCAGAAACAGCCAGCTCTTGCTTTTCGCGTCTAGTCATACCCAAACAATACCAAGCAACCTATAGAAAAGCATGGTAGCCCAAGTTAAGCGGCCAAATGCTTGTTGTTGACGTCACAACTGGCCAACGCTAGTCTGCCATTTTCCAACTTTTTTCTTGCTGCTAGTCGACTTATTTTGGCTATCATCCTGCTATCCAAGCCATCCTTTGGGTTTATCGACTGCAAATTAATCCAAACGGAGCAATTATGACTCGTGTCTATGTTGGTCGATTGAGTTATCGTGCTCGTGAACGCGATGTTGAGCATTTCTTTCGAGGATTTGGTAAAATACGCGAAGTAACATTGAAAAATGGTTTCGGTTTCGTCGAATTTGATGATCCTCGCGATGCTGAAGATGCTATTTATGAACTCAATAATCGTGATCTAATGGGTGAAAGAGTTATCGTGGAATTTGCTAAAGGAACTCGATATGATGACCGCCGAGGAGGTGGAGGAGGTGGAGGAAGTAGCTCCGGCAATCGTCGCTCCGGTGGCGGCGGTGGCGGTGGAAGTAGTGGTGGCAATGGAGGTGGAAGGTACTACCATAGTTGTAGCAACGCTTTCATCCTGTAGTCTTTGTCTTGGGTTTTTTTTTCCTCCCTCCCTCTCTCTTACAACATTCTTCAACAAACTGGATAGATAGAATAGGATAGCAACAGAATCCACTACAAATCATACCCATTTCAAACGAGTTTAGCCACAAACACTTGCTTACTACTTTCAATCATCGACCATGGAAAGGCTCGAGTTGTTCAAAGCTCGGTCATCCAAGCATTTCTATGGAGAAATTCCATCCAATTTTCCCCCCTTTTCCATCCATACTTTAGTAATAATCATTGTATTTTACACTACTATCACGTATTCAACGATTGCCTACCAGTCAGATAGTCATCACCGAACGACGATAGTTATTTTCATCATTGCCTCTGTATGTAAAGTACGATAAATCCAGTATCCAAGTGCTACATCCATGTCGGAAAACCGTCTCGATCAAGAAAGAGTCCTAGTTGGAATCAATCGATTATAATACAGTACAGTCAGTAAGAAAGTATCCAAATCCTTCAAAACCTCTTTATCATTAGTCAGGAATGCGCTAGGTTAAAGCAAAATCCAATACAGTCTACGTCAATATGAAAAAAAGGCATTTTTCACCAGTCCAAAATAGTGAAAAGACATAGCACAAGTGCTCGTATTGAATTTGCCTTTCTATTTCATCAAAGGAAAGCGATGAAAACAGTTTGCACAGTGCAAGAAAAGTGGCCCGTACAATGCTAGTGTTAATCGCCTTACAACTGATCAAGGATACAAATTACTTGTACAATTAGCAATGAAGAATCTAGCTCAATAAGTTGCCTTCTTCAATGACTATGGATAGCATATCCTTTGATAACACCTTCTTATTTGCTCTTTAGACCTCGTTTTGGCCGTCCTCGTAATACTGAATGGCGTTTAGTCATCAACAATTTATCAAGCCGAGCTACCTGGCGCGATATTAAAGATTACATGCGTCAAGCTGGCGACGTAACTTTTGCTGATGCTCACAAACAATTAGGTGAAGGACGAGGAGTAGTCGATTTCGCAACGTATGACGACATGAAAGATGCCTTAAAACGCCTGGATGGTACCGAATTATGCGGCAGAAAAGTTCGATTGACAGAGGTAGAACGGTGATACGGACCATTAACTTAACCATAGTAATGGTGCCCTCAAAAAATACATCATTTCAATGCTTTTCATTATCCTTCTTGTAGACATGTTCTATATAATCAATCACCATGACATTTTAATTTGGGCAATGAATGCCTACTTTATGCGCGTTACTGTGATGAATACTTTTGAACCTCATTTTGGGTCACTCGATTGGCGAGATACACTTAGTTTGCAGTATTTTCTACTGTTAGAGCAATGATGAAGCATTTTGGTAGTTCATTACTCCAGTGGCATTCTTGCTAGTTTGTAGACAGTCGATAGAAGTCACAATGTTCAAAAAAAGTGTTGATGACCCCAACAATTACTATACTCCAAAATGCAGTGCGTATTTCTGTTATCCATTCTACAGTAGTATCTGTACGGTAGGATTATTCTCCTTCGCTATTCAAGTTGTTGTCGTCGTATCTCCGTTATACAATACTCATACAATCCTGTACAAGATTACAGAAAAGAATTCTCCTTTTCCATCAACATTGATAACTTGAAATAGCGACCAAACCAATCGCCCTGGGTATTGTTGCCATGGTTAACATTGCACATCGTCGCCAAAAGCTAGTCTTGTAATAGAGTAGTACATATCGATCATGTTATATCAATTCCTTGAATAACGCATCGCCATAACTTCATCCTTGATGGCCAAATGGACTGACTGATGATATTAACCACTGGATGCAGTAGTCTACAATTGATTGAATGGCCATTGAACAAAATTTGGGTGAATGTCTGATCTTGAATTGGTGCATGAAAACATTGCTGGTAATTGACCAGAAAAAAATACCTTCACATTGAGATGGCAACCAATTGACTAACACTGGATGTACAAAAATAATGACAATTAATACCCGCCAATATGGTGATTCTTACCCAAGATAAATCCATTTAAAATCAATTGGGAGAAAGATCAAACTGGATAAGCCTATTTTTTTTAGTAAAACTTCAGTACCTAGTGTAGCAGTTTGTAAATATAAATATAACTGACTTTTGGAGTATATAATGTAAGATACTAATCGACTGATTTTCACGTTTGCAGTTATTTGGTGGTGACGAATTTATTGGCGTGATAAAATTGTCATGACATGTATTGCTTAACAAAGATATGGCAGTGTTGATTGAGCAAGCTTCTTTTAAATCTTGCCAATTTGTGAAAGTTGGGCAACTGCCATAGTCCAATTTTTTTGAACTGATTATCGTGTCATGGCTAGATGATGCATCAGTGAGCGATTTCTTGAACTGCACAGTACATCTACTTAGATTACTAAGACGCTGCCTTTGCAATATCGTGCTATATTTTTGGCGCTATTAAAACGGTCTGCTTTATAATAGACTATGTAAGAAAATTCCAACTTCCGTTTTTACTAGATGTAAAAATTACCTTAACGTATTTTTGTGATCGTATAGAATACAGAGTTGACAGTCAAACTCATACAACCACGTTGGTGGCCATGAACGACATGTCCTCCACGATCATATCGTAAAAAATGCATGCTTGGTGGTGGTATTACTTATCGTTCAGCAGTATTGGGGACCCCTATTGCATATCTCGCCATCGCAGGATTGCTCATTAGCGTAGCAATGTAGTCAAAGAGACATTTGGTTCCGAGTTGATATCACACTTCCATTAAGTAGCACTTCTAGTTGCTAGTTGATTGGTATGGTGTTGAGTGGCTAATGCGTTCGTTATCTTGTAAAACTAAAATAGATGGCCAATACTAGATACGAAATTTGGTTATTTTGGTGGGCTCGCTTAATAAGCTTTAACACGTACCATGACTAGTTACTGACTTGCATACCTGCTGTATCTGTCTTGTTTTGGTTAACACTTTGCTTGCCGTTGTAGTTGGTCCTAGTGGCATCATTTTCTGTAGATAAAACGTTTACACGGTATCATGTATTGGTATAAACCAATCGTTATACTGGATTACTTCCGACAATCTAATCGTACCATACTTCAAACTGGTTGTATACATCGCATAAATTATGCTATGATTATGATATGACCATTTTTGATTGGGCTGGTAACATGCGTATTCAGTATAGTGTGATGTAAAATTGAATTCATTGCTAAATATGTTGTTTAATCATTTAAGGATCGTCGACGATCACGCTCACGCTCGCGCTCGCGCTCACCACGAAGAAGATCAGCGTCTCCTCGTCACCGGTAAATTGTACACTGTTTATCTTCAGTATGATTGTAGACATGCAATAACGAGTATCTTACCGATTTTGTTAATCAGATCACGCTCCCGTCAGCGTTATAGCAATTCTCGCTCACGCAGTCCACGCAGACACTCTCGTTCTCGTAGCCCACGAAGATCTTATTCTCCCAGGCGTTCTCCCAGTCCAAGAAAGGGAGGATCACGTTATAGTCCACGCAGATCGGCATCTCGATCTCCGATACAGTCTGCATCAAGATCGCGCTCTTTATCTCCTGACAATTGATCTTGATGGTAAGTTAACTAAACTAGACTTAGGTTGGTATTACCCTAGGAACGATCATGTCTCGGTAGAACTATTGCGTTATCTGACAAATAGTTGCAACGTTATGCAACATTGTAGAGCACCTTATACTGCTCAGAAATGGGAAGTATTGATATATTTAGGAAAGTCAATGAAAATTAGACAATGGATAAATTTCGTTGCTTTTATTCTTCACAATTTGCATAGATGGTCAACCATAATTATATTATTATCCTTGTAATTCGTTCAACTAGTGATACATTTTAATTTGGAAACAACTGTATGTATAGAGTATTAGTTGATCGAGATATAATATCAAGAAATAATACTCCTTTATTGTCAAAAATTTGTGATAAACTTCCATAATTGCAGAGAAAATAAAAAGAATTTTACTGTGGTGGATGTAATCAATGAATTCAATTATTGCGAGTAACCGAACAAAAATTTCTACTTATCTGGCGTTATATTACGTCCATAATGCACAGTAGCCCCCCTGTAACTTACAATAATGCTAAATCTACGCCATTCATCTACTATAGCACCGAATCATGTTTAGCCTACGTTTAAGCTAATGCAACATAGCTAAAACATCACTTGATGGGAATATATCAAATTACACTATGCATGCAAGCAGTCATTTTGCAAGTGATGTAGTAATGATTGTTGGTTAAGGAGATGCATAAAATTGAAGTTCAACTCTGTTAGTGTGAATAATTAATTACTTTTAAGTATTGCTAGTAGTAGCAGTCTGCTCAACATTTTCAATCTTGACTCTTCTTTTGTTCATCTTCCTGGTACAACTGCAATTCTCGTTGCATGAACATAATTTGATTTTCTTTCTGTAATTACATTAATTTTGTGAAGATAGTAGCATTGCCATCATTTCCGCTTACCAAGAGAGTAGCCGGATTAATAAAGTAAATGATTATTTTATTTTACTGCTTTCTAGGAAACAGAAAGTTGCTAAGATTATATCAATTATGCACATAGAATGTAGTACATACCTCGATAAATAACTTTTTTAGTTTCGCATTTTCGATGTTAACGTCAACAACGTTAGAACCCTGCGAGACGGAAACGCCGCCATCCTTCTGGCTATGCGTCGATAGCGATCGTTTCATACTATTTCTGAGACTAGCACCACCACGTTTTTTACTCTTAGACAACCTTGTTACCTATTAATAATGAAAGTGAATAACTTTGTAGCTATTTCATGTTTAGCAGAGAAAATGGTCAAAATACTCAATGAATCCATTAGTCAACCGCGCAAATCGAAAAATAGAGAAAGTACCCATAATATAATCTACTCGAAATGATGCGCTTTTATGCAAGCACCAAACATGGAGATAATTTTAATCTTTATATATCACGGAAGGGCCATTGCAACGATACTGTATGTATTCAAATAAGTATTTAACGTATAGGCTATCATGCCATCTAAGATAATCAATGACAGTTGTAACTTTCTCACCATCAAAGCAACACTTATATCATTTCTGACTAAATATCTAAGTAGAAGATATCAAATCAGTAGCCAACCTGCAATACGCTAGTAACTTCTCCCATTAAGTTAAGTTATCAATTTGATTTTAGCTATTTCTGATTGAACATCCAAGTAGAGATATTCAATCAGTACACGAATAGCTAGCTTGCAACAGACTAACAGCTTTTTAGATTAAGGTAAATTGTCCATTCGTCGCTACTATTTAACATTTCCTCAATTGCCAGTTTATGTGTAACAGTAATTCAAGTTATTGAAAATCAAATTACATATACTGCATATCAATTTCTAGCATAAATGATACGCAATTTCACAACAGCATGTTAAATTTATCTCAAGACCAGATCTGAGAAAGTTAAACGAGTTATGCTGTAATTATAACTGAGCTGGCTTCTCCATGTACAATAAATACGCATAATTTCTTGTTATCACGCGTATGTTAATGTAATCGGCGAAGTTCTATCGAATGAAGTATATTAACTGGTGCTCTTCTTTAATCCTAATCATCTATCAGAATAACAACTACTATACTGTACATCGTATCTAAAGGGTTCCATGATTTATTTACTTGACTGAATTATTAAGAAATAGCGTTCAAATTACCAATCCAACGCGAGCACAAAATGTCAACATTATCATTGAAGACTAAACTATCAAAGATATATCGACTGACAATAATTTATAACCTACAGTATACCGGTATACCTTTCATATACTTGTAGCATATAGCCAAGTATATTATCTTAATATGTCTCTATTTATTCAAGTAAATTTATCCTAATTTACCTTTGGCAGAAAAACCACCAGTAAATTTATGGTGGCGCAAAAAATAATAGCCAAAGCGAAGAATGCATATTGTACATTTGGTAAATGGCCAGTAGTCAAGACTATTGGTGTTATCACTGCACAGGTAGCAGCGACGGCGTAAACGCATAAGCCAATATTTTTGGAATCGTTTAGAGCATTAATAGCAACTTTTCTAGTCTCCCATGCCAGAAAAAGCCCAAACAGTAGCAATAAACCCTTATAACTGACGATAATCGCAATCCAGATTACTTCTCGCTGGCATCTGCAGGTTTTTAGCCTTTCGCGTATAAGAACGTCAGAGTTACCTGGCAAAGGCTGTTCATAAAAAAAATTATCGATTGCAATTCCCTTCGGGTAGATAATCAGTTCTACGATTACAGTCTCTTTTTTTCCTCTACTGATTATACTGTAACTAACGTTGCTCTATTCATAATCATCATTTCATTTCATTTGGACTATGTTATTAGTTTTATAGTAAGATGGCAAAATGAATTGTTGATTTCTATGATTGCAAGTTTTACTACGTGTTTGGAGAAATCTACTCACATAAGGTGGTAGGAATTCATAACCACTTTGTAGAGGATCGATCAGTTCCCATACAAGAAGAACGGTGACATCTATAACAATTAGGACACCAACACGTAGTAATAATTGGCTATCACGAATGGCCTATTATGGAATAGATTGATGCCCTTGTTAGTTGTGAGCGGTATTTTCGAAGAGTAAAATATACGTAAATGAAGACAAGGTATGATTACTGGCTACGGTATTGTAGCCATAAGCGATTACAAGATGATAAACTTACTACTTTCTTCGCTGTCAAGTTAGCAAATATTTTATGAACTCGCCATGTTTTGAAAAACATAGCACCGAAAGCAAATGAAAAGCCAAGACTGATGAGCCAAATACGTGCCTAGGGTAGAAATGAAAATCGTTCATCAACATTTGTCCAATTCTCTTGCAATAGAGTGACAAAGAAGAGAGATCATCCACATATGTGTTAATTCATTTCAATACATAGTAATATGTGCATCAACTCTACTAAAGAAGAAATAACTGTAAATGGATATATGCAGTACACAAAGTATAAATACTTACTTTACATAGGGACTGATACTCCTTCAAAGGTACAAAATCCATACCAAATATTAAAACACCTATATAAGTTGTTACGGAGCCGAGGATAATCAAATTATTCATGTTGGGGCTGGACATTTTAATGAATCTATAATGGTCAAGGACATTGAAATGATAAATAATATTTTCCAGGATAATCATGGAAATAGAAGACGACATGGAATGTTACGATGAAGTGAAAAGATTTCTGGTTATATGAGAAAAGTAAAGTTACCCTATGCGGACTACAAGTAAAAGTTTAAAAATTAGACAAAACACCATGATATAAATTCTTTCTTCAAGTCTAAGGTATTTGACGGGTCAATTATAGCAGTAATTTAACCATAATATTTTCTTAGCCTTAATTTTAATTACACATTTCTTTTAGCCTTTTCTTGTACTCAACTTAAACTTGAACTTGATAACCGAATGAAATATTATAGTTGAAATATACAGCTTACCTTACATGACGATATCGAATGTTGATATTTAGGAAAAAGATGGCCATTGCCACACATGCAATCAAAATTAGTACCACTGAAAAGAAGAGTGGCTGACTAACTTCCTTGTCTTGGATTTGAATATAGACAGAATCGACAGGTTTTGAACCTGAGATGCATAGCCAATTTTTGTATTACCCAATTATACAGTAATTAAAAGCAACAACATCAATTTAGTACGTTAATTTTCTAAATTCTATACACCGAGTTAGGCAGTTATCCAAAAGGTTATTATCAAGAATAAATACGCATCTACTCATGAATTAAAAGCCAACTACTATACAGGATAGGTAGTTTATAACTGTTTTCTATCTACAACCCGCGCAAGTTTAGTTCAATCATTCAATTTGCAATACCGTTATTCGGCCATGTAATTCTACTATCGGGTATTCTTTGCAAGCGATTATCAGTTGGTTCGTACATAGCGATCAGTACAAATCGGCCATCTAATAGAATGGTTATTATAATTATATTGTAAAGCATAAGTGTCGATATCATCAGCAATGGAGCATTCTTATAAAATTTGAATCGAAATGTGTACAGTATATCATTTGGTACCTTGATATTGCTGAATGGTACTGGTCATAATTCGTTCACCTTTTTCTGAAAATTGAACTTTTCCCTAGACGACAGTATAGAAGCAAGGTTAGATGATGGAGGATATATAGGATGCATAAGTTAATCTAACTGCAAAACTTTCTTCCTAGGATTAGCTGTAGAGGATATATAAGATGCGTGGATTACTTTAATAGCACTAATTTCTTTCCGAAATAATTGCAGAGAATATATACAAGATGTGTAGACTAGTTGAGTTGGAAAGGATACACAGAGATTTATAAATTACTCTAAATTTACTAGTTTCTTTGTAAAAACTACAACTCGCCTATAGGCAAAAGTATACAAGTAATATTGTATGGTAAAGTATATGTAGAGATTTATACTGCAGATTACTCTAACTGCATTCATTTTTTTCTTTTTGAAAACTAGCCTCGCCTGTAGATGAAAGTACAGAGGTAACGTTACATGATGATTCTAACTGCACAGATTTTTAAAGGAAAAACTAAACTCGCCTGTTAAGGAAAGTATAGAAACAACATCATAGGATAAAGAGTATAGAAAGATCTTATATAGACTACTCAAACTGTATTTAGTTTTCCTTCTGGAAAATAATCGCGTGTGTAGACGAAAGCATAGAAATAACGTTACAAGTAATGGATACATACAGATTTGTAGAAATTGCTCTAATTACTCTAATTTCCTTGTACACTACTACATTGAAAATATAATATGCTAAAATTAAAATGATAGTAAGCTTTATAACTGATACTTGATAACCAAAAATGAGTCAAATCGAGACAGACTAACCGTAACTCCTAAGAAATTGGTTGCCTTGAGATTATCGTGGATAGTATCTCCTATTAGTGTGTTATTATAATCAAATTGGTAAAGATGAGCGGGAGGCGACTGTCTAGATAACTGTTTTTCTGCTCCATCTAAAGCGAAAGCAATCGTCCAAAAAGCATCCCATGCAAAGCCAGCTGTGTTCCAACCAGAACGGTTATATAACTTGTACGCTTCCTTGTCATAAATACTTTGAAATGTTGAAGCAGACTGAAAAAAATATTCAGTTATAATTGATGAAAACTAAAGTTTGGAATAAAAGGTGATTGGATGTATATTGATACATTTAATATCAAATGATGAGCTGATATTTTCCTAATTTAAGTAATTGGGCTTTCATCTCTTTTGATATAGCTGGTTTAAATTTGTACATGTACTGTCAAGAATCTTATATCAAAAGTCCGACATTCTTTTAATTAATTTAAGATGGAAACTTTCATCTGGTAGTATAGACTTATACACTTGATAATCTTAATTTATAAATTGTGATCATGTGCGAAAGTCTAGCAATCAGATTTAGTAATTTCTGCTTGAAAAGGATCATTTATTATTATTAACTATTTTAAAGATGCATTAATACGTCATAATTGACCTGCTACATGTAATTTTAATTTCTAAAACACATGAAAGTACTCATCAAATGTCATAACTTACCATTCCTGTGCTGGTCATCCTAGTATCACTAATGTTAGCTAGATAGCTAACAGAAAATGCGGTAATATTTCCCATAGCATCTCTCATTTCTTGTGGGCTACATTCGACATTAGGATCTGCAACGCTCCACCAATTATCGCTATACCAACCCATGAAAAACCAGACATGTTTTAACGTCATGAGTCCATTTCTGGTAGCCTAGAGCCAGTGAAACATGTCTATTTATACTGGTAAATTGTTGTACTTATAAATGTAATCCGGTCGAATTAGCGGTAGATTTAGTTCGTCTAATTTTAAGCTAAGGCTTTGAAAAAGGTTATTACGTGGTAAACTACTCTAAAAGACATACTGAACAAACGATTTTTCGAGCTAGATCTTCATAAGAGCTAAGGAGGATTATTCGCGCGTCTTTATTCTTTGAAAAAAATCACATAACGCATGACATATCGATTAATTAACGCATTAATTATTGCAACCTTATCAAATTTTGTTTAATTTGCCTTTATATACTGTATGGAAACAGCTGGATCTTGATCATCAGATATTTGTTCGCTAGCAAGTACAGTAATATTATTGGATTGAAAAGATTCAATCATTTCTTTCATGGATAAGGAGAAAACATCGGCGGTTTGATGAATAGTAGCTACTGTCTTCCATTCGAAATATTTAACGAGGGCCAATCTTGGTGCATTGAAGGATGACTCACTGGGATACAGACGATAAAATGATGAGTACTTATTGCGATCTGATAGTGCGGGCGATGAAGCAGCGTAGGAAACCTAAATCAATTTTTATTACAGAAAAGAAAGATTTTATGCTAAATTACGCGTAGATCTTGAAGTTAATGTAGTGGTACCCAATTCTAATATTCATGTTATAGTGATTATCGATGAGTTCGAATGACTAAAAGTTGAAAGCATCCAATACCATTGCTAACCTGAGCTAGGTTGTACAATTTAGCAGTTTCAGCAACAGGCCGTGCGACCGGTGAGCATCCAGGTCCAAAGATAATGGTGGTTTTATTTTTAGCGTACAAAAAATCGTACAATATTTTGGTTCCTATACCCGGATCGCACTATATTTCACGATTATATTAAATAGGTGAGTGCTGCAGTTACAACGGATTGAAAAGTAAGCGTAAATATAGTACCGTACTTGGCGGTAAACTATAACAGAATATTGATGGTTTTCATTTTTGTGTGGACATGAGCTATTTAATGCACTGTGTTATGGAGTTACTTTACAAGACAGTATAGTATGTCCTTTCCATTAAATATTTGAAATAATTCCCTTGCAAGCTTATTCCTTGATGACAATAATGAAATAGCGTTACTGTATTCAATCTTATGAAAAAGATATTGTGCGGTTAATTTTTTCTCAAGGTATCTCAGGAGATGTAGCTTAATAATATATGAAAAATTTAAAATCATCTTCTAAATATGTGAATAAAGCCGATTAATACTAACTTCAGTATTTTGATACTTTGATTCCAATATATATCCTGGTAGTATGGAATTATTACCATTAATATCTTTTAAGGCCATATTTAAAGCAGGCACCACAATTAATCCGACAGCCAAAGGGCCTGTCATAGGAAGAAATGTTCCGACTCGAATCGATCTCTTTTCCGCTTGACTATAGCTAAGATCAATTAATAGCAGACATAGACAACCAATTAATAGATAACATCCTATCCTTGCCATGGCTGAATCAATTATTTCCTAATATTTATTAATTTTTGACTCTTTCTGAGCTGTAGTTTTCTTACAGAACTGAACTTGGATAATGTTGTAAAATATCCTTATAAAAATTAACCAATATACTAAGTGCAGCCAATCGTATAATAACTAGACTAAAGTGGCAGTACCTGTCTCTACCTTTGGGTATTTTTTTTATCGGGGTTTGCTGCGGTTAGATTGTAATTATTGGTTAATTCATAAATTAATAAATAAATACTAAGCATCAGCAAGGATGATTTGTAATATGTTCTTGCAATTATAAATTAACTATACAAAATAATGTTTTAAAAAGTAGCTATATTAAGTTGTATACAAAATTTGGGGCCTGTAATCATTTATTTTTAATCTAATGTAAATAATCATTTTACTATTCACGATCACCATGATGTCCAGACTTCGTAACTCATTTTTCTTATATGGTTACTTCCAGTAGTAAATTTCCTCTTCGTTATTAGTTTGCTTAATTTTAGCTAAATCGCTGTCAAGGTTATGATTGACGAGAGTATTTTATTTTTGACAGTATGTACGTATGTATATACAGTATAATTACTTAGCCATTAAAATAATGTTCAATGAGATCCTTCTCAGTGATTATGATATACTCGTATATGCTGCCTACAACCCACTCAATTTAAGATATGCAGTGAAATCCTTCCATTAAGGTATTTTACTCGCATGGGTATAACTGATTGGGTCACTGAAAGAGTATCAAATGTGGCATTTCTGGCTATAGACGACAATGTATTTAGTCCGTCATTTTTACTCAATCTAAGATATCGAATGAAGTACTTTTGGAGGGGTTTTACTCGCGCATACGGTAAAAACCCGTAATAGCGTGGTACCAATGTAATTGATTTTGCATTAAAAAGTATTGATGATTATATTAAATAACGTAAATGAAATCTAAATATGTAAGTTATGTGTACTAGTTATGATATAGCTAATTGTGATAAATCTAGGAATGCATTTATGGATAATTTAAACCGCTACTAGATTAAAATGCGCTTATGCATAATGCATAGAATAAGATATGTATTCTGCCATAGACTTTAAAATTTTTCCCTATCTAGTAGTCCATGATTCTGCATACAGCTGTGGGTTGAATTATGTTTACATTCTTATCTACTGTAGATTAATAAAGTTGGCATATGCATAACAACTATGATAATTCTTGGTTATAACGCCGATTTATGCAGTCTATTGCTCAGGATATACCGTAAAATGAAAGGATGATCATTTCTCAATACAGTACTTGCTGGTTCATTCCGCTAAATTGCTATCGAATAGGATAGATAAAGCGTTGACTATAATATTTCTCCAGAAGAACTACAATTGATACTGCCTACCATTTATAAAATCCAAAACACATAATGAAAGAATGGTCATTCTCTTCATGTATCTTGGTTAATTTTAAGCTAAATCACTATCGAATCTATGATAGATAAAGTGTGAAACATGACAATTTTTGGATAAGAATGACACTTTATACAGTTTACTATTCATTTAATTTGAGATATAGAATGATTATTCTCTTCATGCAATGTTTCCAGGTTAATTTCTGCTAAAGCTCTATTAAATGGGATAGACAAAATGTTGAATGCGCTAGTTCTTGATCCTAATGAATTTCTATGTAGTTTATAATTCATTCAGCTTGAGATAGGAAATAAAAGGATAATTATTCTCTCCGTACAGCAATTCCTGGTTAATTTCATTAAAATGATTATCGAACAGCATAGACAAGATATTAAGTGCGATATTTTCGATAATGATACTTTATGCAGTCTGTCATTCATTTCATTTAATTTAATTTGAGATAGGGAATGAAAGGATAATCATCCTGTCCATTTAGTAGTTCCTGGTTAATTTCAGCTACATTACTATCGACTAGAATAGTCAAAATGTAGATTGTGATATTTCTCGGCAACAAGGATACTTTATTCAATCTACTATCCATTCAATCAGGGTTATACTATAGAATGAAAGGATAATTATTTTCTTCGCATATCTAGGTTAATTTAAATGACTATCGTATCTGTAATCAACAAGCGACTTTTTGAGTGATTTCTGTATAGCACTGATAAGTCATTACGAATATAATATTTCTCATAATTGTGGTAATTTATGCAATCTATGATTCGCTTACTCTGAGATAGGGATAAATTATATATTCTGGGAGTAGTACGCGTATGCTCGTATACGTGTACAAATGATTAGTCATTGAAAGGCTACTTTAGATGATATTTCTGAATAACGACGGCAAATTTATGGAGTCTGCTATCCATTCAATTTCGGGATATGGAATGAATGGAAAATCAGTCTCTTCATTTTTCAGGTCAATTTAACTTTATCTAAATCACTATCGAATCTACGACAAGGTGTTTCATTCATGCAATCTAGGAATGGAATAAAAAGAGAATTATTCTCTTTATATATGCAGGTTTAATTTTAACTCAATGTATCGAATTAGTGATAGGCAAGGCATTTTTCTTTGAGTATGAATGCAATATTTTTCGATAATTGCAGCATTAATGCCGTCTACCGTGCATTGAATCTGGAATGGATGAAATCGTTGGGAACCTTTTTACCTTCAAGACCGTACACTCGTATACAGGTAAATGAGTGTATAATTGGATAAGTTATGGAAAGGCTAATGGAATGGGATATTTATGGATAGAGACGACAACGAATACGGTCTGAGATTCATTCACTATTACTTTACTTATATCTAAGAGCAGATAACGAGAAGGTTGATTAGCTGTTAAATGAGCATTCAGTGTCATCTAACTGGATAATTGCGAAATGGATGCGGTAAACGGGTGATTCAATGTGGGATTTAGAATAAAATACGGTATTCGGTATTTTGGGTAGTATAGAAATACTGTAAGCTGTATAATAGAGCTGCCATTCAAGGGGCATTCGATGTGATAATTCCCCATAAAGACAATCATTAATTTACGAATGCCATCTACTGCTCATTGAAGGCATTTAAAGGGCATTCGATGTGATATTCCCCAATAAAGACAATCCTCAATTAACGAATGCTATCTGCTGTTCATTGAAGCCATTCAAAGGGCATTCGATGTGATATTTCCCGATAAAGACAATGGTCAATTTACGAATGCCATCTACTGTTCCTTTAAGCTGCGATAGAATGAATGAAAGGATGATTCTCCTCATTTTCTGGTACAGTATTGCATGTCGCCATATTTGATGTTGATTGCCTGAAGCACTCTTATGAACATCAACCACTTTCGATGGCTCTTTCAATGCATACTATTTTACGCCTAGCACACCGTTCTTAAAAGCTTCAAGTTTGACAAGAGGCTGATCATTGGCCGATTTTTTTTCAACCCACCTTAAAATGGAGGCAAGATGGTATTGCCAACATCCATGTCCAATGTTGTACATTAGACTCAGTCATTTCCCTCAATGTTTGGGTCGAATGCAAATTGTACTGTACAATTTAGCATAATAGTCATAATGGGCCTCCATGTATAGAAAAATAGCTTGACTGCCCTTTCGGACAGCCATTGTTTTTGCATTCATTTGCCCATTTCTGCTTTCTTCCTCGTCCTAGAGCCTATGCTGGCCTGTAGTAGTGATTCGTCGAGGTTGAATATGGTTATTATTCAGCATTGATTGATTGATTATCGCTCAGAGTGAGTAATCCTAATCTTTTAACTAATCCTGACAGTCGAAAAGAGTCTTTCATGTCCTGTCTGATCAATGTAATTTGAATTGAATTCTAATCTCCATTTATTTATTTATCCTAATCAAATTGGTCGCCATAGTGTCAAATGGAACTAGATGATCGAGAAGAGCTGATGCAATGAGTCGAGTGAAATGACCCACGGTACGGTACGGTACCGTACCGTCAATCTAGGGGACAGTACTGTGGTGTGCTCAATACATGAGCTAGCGATAAGGGTTGACACCATCGGAGGAACGACACTCCACGCGACGACTGAGAACGCTTTTCCATCATTGCGATCGTCCAAAAGGGTCAACGTGCGACTAGGGTCACGCCTACAGATGCGTCAACAGTACTCCAGTGTGGTTGAAGAGTTTTCTCAGGGCATTCCCACTTTCTAGTGATTCTTGCAGTACCGAGTCTACTGTACCTCTAGTCTACAGCCATTGGAAGCATTTGCAAGATGGCGTGAAAAATGATTTGATTCCTAGCTCGTAGTCTTTGCTACGTGCCAGTTTATGACAACAGTAGCTAGGCCATGCATGCGTACTCCTACTATAAAGAAGACTCCAAAGACCGACAGACACTAACCCCACCCACGGCACACAAGCGTGGACTATCGAGTGTGTGTCATTGAGCGTAGAATGATTTCACCACTACAGTACTCTACCCTGTACACTCAGTGTACAGTACTGTAGACTGTCCAGAACAGGAGATCAGAACGGGTGTAGCGTCGGCCACTTCAACCGACCTGACGTGATGCACTTTCAACGGGACGACTGCCAACTGACTGACCCTCTCTGCCGGTCAACCGGGTCCTGCAGTGGGTACAAAAGCAACGAGTGTGTCATTGAGCGTAGGGTGATTTCACCACTACTGTACTCTGTACACTCAGTGTACTGTAGACTGTAGACTGTAGACTGTCCAGAACAGGAGATCAGAACGGGTGTAACGTCGGCCACTTCAACCGACCTGACGTGATGCACTTTCAACGGACGACTGCCAACTGACTGACCCTCTCTGCCGGTCAACCGGATCCTGCAGTGGGTACAAAAGCAACGAGTGTGTCATTGAGCGTACAGTACAGCAGGGTGATTTCACCACTACTGTACAGTACTCTGTACACTCAGTGTACTGTAGACTGTAGACTGTAGACTGTCCAGAACAGGAGATCAGAACGGGTGTAACGTCGGCCACTTCAACCGACCTGACGTGATGCACTTTCAACGGACGACTGCCAACTGACTGACCCTCTCTGCCGGTCAACCGGATCCTGCAGTGGGTACAAAAGCAACGAGCGTGTCATTGAGCGTAGGGTGATTTCACCACTACTGTACTCTGTACACTCAGTGTACTGTAGACTGTAGACTGTAGACTGTCCAGAACAGGAGATCAGAACGGGTGTAACGTCGGCCACTTCAACCGGACATGACGTGATGCCCTTTCAACGGACGACTGCCAAGTGACTGACCCTCTCTGCCGGTCAACCGGATCCTGCAGTGGGTACAAAAGCTTCATTTTTTCCTAGTGGAAGGCAAAACTCTGTGGGCTGCAGAAGCGCCGCCGCTTGTCGCTTTGCTTGTTGGAAAATTGCAGTATACTTGTTGATTGGTTTTCTTCAATCCTTCTTGCTGTTGCAGGTTGATAGAATTGATGGCATCGAATCAGGAGAGTCTTGGCGATGATAAAGGTGGTAGTCTTGCCAATTTATCCAAATGGCAAGTAGCGTTGCTATTAGGTGTGGGTGTTGGTGTTGGTGCAGCTTATTACTACTATCGGCGTGGTCAAAGCAGCATTGCAGCGAGACAGCCTCAACAAGCGGATGTTCAACCAGTTGTTAGCGATGAAAAATCCGATCAAACAGATGATGCAAATATGGTAATATCATCTTATTTTTCCTCTTTTACGCTCAATTTGATGCCTGATAATTTGTTGTATTTTCAATGAGTAAAAATCACATTACTTGTTGCTGAGATGGACCTATTAACGTCATGGACGACCGACCGTCTTGCTTGATGTTCTATCAATCAATGTCTTTTCCATCGTCATAGCTATGCTTCCATGGAGGTCCATATTGCAATCATACAATTCACTATCATCTTATTCTGATGTTTTATTGTCAACTTGATTCATGGCAAATGATCTGTTGTATTGTCAATGGGTCAAAAGTCACATTACTTGGTGCTGCTGATGAGACGATGATCATGGGTATGAATATCGTGGACAACGAGGATCGGATTGATTGATTGATATCATATCAATCATTCAATATTCCTACCATAACCATACATACACGTCGATGGAGGTCGATATTGGAATCATATTACTCAGCATCATCTTATTCTACTCTTTTATTTTCATCTTGATACATAGTCCATTATCTGTAGCATTTTGAATGGGTAAAATCCACCTTGGTGCTGATACATCGAAAAGTGCCCTACCATCATATTGAATGATGTCATATCAAACCAGTCAATATCCCTCGATACACGTAGATGGAGGCCAATATCTTAATCGCATTATTCGAGTTGACCTCCAATTTTTCGTAGATTGCACTCAGTTTAGGACTAGTGACAGTACCTGATGAACGATTAATCAACTAGCAGTAGTTCGACTCACCAATAATGTAAGTGGGATGGACGCAGTAAATGGTAGGATTCATTTCCTTGGCTATTTCCCTTCATTAAAGAATAACGAAAAAGTCTTTTCACTGGTGAAAGGGATAATGCACGATGTTTCACATCAATCCTATGCTGTTAATGCTAATTTGCAATGATTGTACACTATACAACCATGGCAAGGATTGAATGGCTGAAGGAGTTCAAGAGTTAATTGTTTTAAATTGATCAGTTCACGGCTTATTCTGACTATTATTACTGTTGTCGTCATGATAATGATAATTACATTATTAAATGGCATCAAAGTCATCCAGTTATATTAAGATGAACTATTTACAAATGAATTCATGAGTATGTTAAAGTTTACTGCTTCGTCTTTAAAATTGATGTATCGTTTCTTTTTTTATTATGTACAGTCAGCTAAAGAAAGAGCATCTGCTGTCAAAGGCAAAGGCAACAAATTTTTCAAAGGCGGCAAATATGAGCAAGCCATTCGATGTTATACGGAAGCCATTGAGCTTTGTCCTTCTTCTGAATCTGATATCAGATCGGTGTTATATCAAAATCGTGCGGCAGCCTACGAGCAATTGGTAATAACTGCAATACACTATGACAGATTGCTGTTCATTGTGTACAGTAATGCTACATAAAAAATCCTTTTCTTCATAATATTTCTGTAAGGACTACAATGATTGATAGATATTATGGACGATATTGTAATGCCATCGAGCTACTGATTCAGTACAGCTAGGCTACAGTAGAGTTTTTTCATGACGCTCTTTCTGTAATGGCCATACTAGGAAACTACTGATTTAATACAGTTAGCTAAAACGCAATTTCTTCATTCCTTTCCTGTAATGGCTACGATAATAGATTCTATACTGTATAGTAGTAGTACTGTCAGATCACTGATTTGAGTGCAGTTAGACAAAATACAAATCCCTTCATTGCTCTTTAGTAATGGCTGTAATAATTAATGGATACTACAAATGATGTAGTGGTCAAGGAAACCTCTTTTAGTTATTAAATAATACACGTGCTATCGTTTACCTTGGATTTATTATTAACCTCTGCAAATTTCTGCTTTTGATATGTTTATTGTAGAAAGAATTTGATAAGGTCGTCGAAGATTGCAACAGCGGTAATTATCTACCATTATCATAATCCAATCGACTTTTTTATTCAATAAATTACAATGGTGGAATAAATGTAATCTACTACAGTAACAGTAACCCTTTCCTATTAATTGCATCGGTAGTAAAAAAAGTAATCTAAAAGACAATTAACATTACTGTAATCATATTAAAAAGAAATAATTTTCGAAATAGGATTAATTTAAAAATGTATGTGATTGAGAAGTTACCCTATGTGATCTTATTGTTCATTACAAGATATTACTTTTGTTTGTTTACTTAGTTGCTTTAATAGAAACACGATTATGCTGTCTTTCCAACAGCTTTAGTTGTAATCAATTTTATGAATAACAATAAATAATTGTAGATTGAATTCGTCAATATGGTATCGTAGATTAAAATGACCCATGAATAATTATGAACTTCATTTTACTATTTTACTTTTAGCTTTAGAACTAAATAAGCACTATGTTAAAGCCATAAATCGTAGAAGCAGAGCTTATGAGGAACTAAAGGAGTACAGAAAATGTTTAGAAGGTTCTAGTATACCTCTTTATCAACGTTTATGAATACTGCCAGTTTTCTTATTATTTAATTGTGCTCTAGTTTATGTATGGCTTATAGCTGTTACTGCACTTTCGTATAATTTTGCTGTATGATGTATTACGCTAATGGAATTGATGATACGATCTCGTATAATCACGCGTCAATTTTCTGGATACGATTAGATTTGACTGCTCAATGCATATTAGAAAGTTTTCAAAATGCAGCGACAATCATGTCAGCTGATAGGGTCCTCAAGATTGTCGGTAAAATTGAAGCCAAGCAAAGATTTGCGGTGAGTACGTCTTTACTTTGGTGCTTTACGATTCTACTCTTAAATCATCGTCTGTCTATAACAAGTTTTGTGGATAACTCTTGACTTGTAAGTATAATAATTTCAACTGTCATCTTTAGGAGCGTCAATACTTTCTTCCATCCACAGCATTCATTCAAACGTATCTGGAATCTTTTGCAAATGGTAAGAAAAAGTCTATTTGCGTTATTTTCTATGTATACCTCGACTTAGGAATATTTGCAACCGTATCGTACACGCTAGCTAACAATAGAGTATTATGACGTTATTTGATAATCACTACGCAACTGTTAAATTGTTTCAGATGGATTACAGTTAGCAAGTATATCTGATGCTCCAACTGTAGATACTTCTGGTATGATATTGGATGGTCAATCTCTTGTTAGCAACGATTAAGATAAATAAATAATGAAATCAGTAATGATATAATTCTTTTTAATTTTACGACAGCTTTTGAAGAGGATGATTATTTCTTAATTGCACGATACAACCTATCTCAATGCAATTATGAAAACATCATTGACTACTGCACAAAAGAAATCGATAAAGATTTTTCTCCGTACCGGGCTGAAGCTTATGCATTGCGTGGAACGTTAAGGTTATTAATGACTGATAGTGATAGCGCCTTGGAAGATTTTGACAAAGTACTGGAATTTGACGATGGTAGTCCTAGGGTACGATGTATAGAATAATTTAAATTATCCTGAGTCGATAATGTTATATCTTAACAAATTTTTCCTAATAGTAATACTCTTTAAACTAATGTTAGGTCAAGGTTAATGCGTTAATAAAAAGAGCGAGTTATAAATTGCAACAAGAAAAAACTAATGAGGCCATTGCAGACTTTTCCTCGGCATTAGAGCTAGACCCAGAAAACTGCGATATCTACTATCACAGAGGACAAGTCAGTATTAATTGGAGATGCGAATATTATTGTTGATTTGAAGAGATTTTCTTTACCTACGTTTTGACTATATTGCTGTTCTTAAATATAGGCTTACTTTCTTCTTGAGCGACTATCAGACGCTATGTTAGATTTTCAGAAAAGCTATGAATTGAATGAAAATTTCTCTCAAGCATATGTTCACCTTGGTTATGCGAGATATAAGTCGGCTGTAACGCAACAATCACCTTCGCTTGTTGAGAAATCAATAAAAACATTCGAAGATGCTCTAGAAAAATATCCCAATTCTGCTGATGCAGTTAGTTTATATGCCCAAGTGAGTAACTTTTGATAAATGTATAGCAGTTATAAAATTATTCTTACACTATTTATTATGTGACTATGAATATTTAGTTACGATCAGACTTGGGAGTGACCTCATGCATTGCTATAGTTAAAATGGAATATTCTTGACAGATTTTACAGGATCAGCAACAGCTGCAAAAAGCAGATGAACTGTTTGATAAAGCAATATCTATACGTCCAAATTTCCCGAGCTATTATGTTCATAAAGGGTAAGTAGTTATTGGTAGCTTTACTATTGTGTTGGAGTTTGTAACTTGTAGAACTGCATAGGTTCTGTCATCGTAGTAATTTAAGTACTATTCACTTGTAGCGTATTGCAAGTTCAGCTTAAGCAGGATATTGAAGCCGGCATAAAATTAATTGAGAAGGCAATAGAACTTGACAACAAATGCGATTTTGCCTATGAAACCTTAGCTACTGTGGAAGTCCAAAGGTAATGTTACATTGACGCGTACTTTTGCTGATGATCATGCCAATCTCTGATTCTTCTCAATCATGATTATTGAATTGAACTTGAATTTTTGATGTCTATTTACAGGGGTAACATCGATAGAGGTATAGAGCTGTTCGAGAAAGCATTAAACCTTGCTCGTGCAGAAAGTGATCTATCACATACTTTATCACTCTTGATTGCTGCTCAAACTCAAATTAAAGTAGGCAAAAACTTAGGAGTATCCCCGATGATGCCGTTTTAATGAATTAGTATGCAAATTCTAATTGCACTGACTTATTATACTGTATGGTGGGTTGCTTCGCCTTGCTGTGACTTTAAAAAGTTTTGTATGAAGAAAGCGGCAAATCAGGGTCTTTCTTATGTACTTATCAACAGAGAATAGAAATCCGATTAATACTAATTTTGTATTGTTACATAATAAGCTGTAATTTGCGGTCATATTAACATCGTACGATAACAATTCATCTTCAGAGTCACGGCGGATAATTTTTCGCTCTCGATCTGTTTACCCTGTTGTCATCCATAGCAAGCACTACAGGAATAAAAAGCTATTACAACGACACAATGAATATTTCACTCTTTGCTTTTACTCTAACAGCTACGAGGTCTTTATTTGATTACATCTGCAGTTGTGCACTCTATTTAGGCATATACATTCAGTACAAGATACAGGGAGTTAAAAAGTAATACTCTAAAACTGCAGTATTTTCAACAACTGTTGCCTTTACTGTGTAGTGTATATGGTAATTTAGTACTCATAAAATAGCTTGGAAATTAGCTCCCTTGGATCACTACAGTTTATATGTACTTGATGCCAATTTCACGATCGCTATTATAGTCGGAACGTATCCTAAAGCTGTCTAGTAACTCTAGACTACATGTTATACTTTCAGTTATAATATACAAGTAATAATATGAACTGCTACTATAATGTTTGCGTTTTATACGATACAGTGCTCGCATAGATGTGCGCATTACCGATGATTAATTATAGTACAGTAATAAGAAATAAATACCATAATTGATAGTCATTGTCCGTGCTAGTGTAGTGATACCATTGACGATTTCTCGATATACTGTGTGGCATGGATGGACAATAGACCATAGCATTTTAATCTAACAATACTTTAATCCAAGATAGTTTGAATTCAAGTGTGATAGTTACAGCATACCTATTAAAATTGCTGTAATAATAGAAATGCTTGATGTGTACATTTAGATCAGTAAAATATCTGCTTTATGCTAACCAATTAATATACGAATATAGTAATAAAATGAATAATGATACTACCAGAATTAGCCAGCTATGATATTACTGCTAGACAGCATTTACTCCGACATTTATATATTAGGGTCATAAAATTGATATTTAGAGTTACATTTGATCTTTACTTCGTCTTTAGGATCAAAATCGTTGGTAAGTGGAACCTTCATAGGATTCTCCGGTTCCTTGTTTGATTTCATGATTACTGCAGCGATAATGACGGTGGCAACCAGGATAATAGCACAGCCACCAGCAATGATTACGATAGCAGTTGTTGAAATGCCTTTTTTATCGCTAATTTTATCGGTATCAGGAACAGGTTCGCGATCAGCGTTTCCTATACCATTTGTATTTCCAACATGATCAGGGACTTTATGATTTTGATTATTTCCTGGTTTCATGTTTGGTATACTTCCATCAGTATTATGGTGAGTTGGGGGAAACATTAATGCTGGTATAATAAGAGTCTTCTTGAAGTTACGAACCATACTTTGGAGATCCGGGAACTGCTGTAGAATATTGGTAACATCTGCCAATGCTTGATGTATAATCTGTAAACGCCTTAAATCTTGAGCGCGTCGTATCGGTGCTTCCTTTGGTGATAAATGCTTGAAATGGGAAAATTGCCTGATCAAAAAGTGGTGTTCGTGGCCGAAAACTCGCATAACTTTTTCAACTGCTCTCATCAATTTGGCTTTATTGATGTTACTTTGGTTGAGAATCTTGGTCAAGGCTTCCAAAATTTTGCTCTTCTTATTACTAATTACCTTGTAGGCGCATACGTAGTGTTGCCGATGTAAAATCAACAAAAGCTTTTGGGTCTCAGATAGAAAACTTTTTGCTGTAGTGTTTCGAAGCGATAGCGATGCTTTCTCCTTCTTTTTTAAGTGCATTAGTGTATGCTGTAGTTTTTCATTTCTTCGTTTCAATAGTGAAGTTCTAACGTGACTAAAAGTTTTGGAATCACATATACCGTTGGGGAAGAAATTGATGTGATGGGAATGATTTGATTTCTGTAATAAAAACAACACTATTATATGATATATGTACTGCCCCAAATTATTTCATTATCGTTCATAGATGATATTGCAAATGATACTAGAATTAGCATAACGGATATGTCACACTAATTAAGTCCTATTGGATTATTTTGGAGAGATGTTGAAAAAATAGGAAATAAAATATATATGTTGCTGAAATTTCTGATGTACTATTGATTCATTTATTTATTTATTAGGGCAGACTTGAAAAATGTAGTGTAAATTATCAACATGCTTACAGGTTTGTCCGCGTTACAGCAGCTAAACTGGATGCCTTGGTATTGATCAGCGCTACATTTACTTAAAGTGGGTGTTTGATATTCTAGCGGAGAGTATTCGTGGATCACTTTATTCTTTCCTGTCGCACGGCACTTGTCATGAGCGATTTTGACCCAAATATCTTCATCCTTACAAGGACCTGTATGATTCATGACGAAATCAAACTTGCAATGCTTATCTTCTGGAACTGAGACGGCATGACCAAAAAAGAGCCCAACTATAAATAAGACAAGGAAGCTTGTAGTTCAAACTCTTCTTGGTTATACATCAAAGTAATTGTTACTTTGTACTTTGAAATTAATCTTGAAGCAATTGATAGGCTTAGTACAATTTTAATCTTTCACTGTACACGATATGTTGTAGACAATTATAAAAGTAGTACTACAATATCATTTATCAGGCAGATGTCATGGATAAAAGGCGATCAATACTTACCGACACATCGGTAAACCCTACTTGTACCGCTGAAATAGCACATTTTGCGTTCATTATCGCACCAGTTATTAAAGTGCTGATACATATTCTCATGAACGATATTGACGATGTCATAATCTTTATAAACCTTGCGACAATAGTCTAGAATCTAAGGAATAAAATTGAAAGTCAATTAAGACCAATACAATCCATTACTGCACAGTAGATAAGGGAAAGGTTTAAATAATTGATTTTAGTTGAAGGATAACGCCAAAGTCATCAAGTTTGAATTACTTCCATAAAGGCGTTCAACACTACAGATGTTGTTAACGACTGAAAGCTAAGTAGTCGATTAAAACTCAACGTTATCATGAGATTTACTGTATGTAGAAAGACATGGTGGTATCTTTACGCCAATTTATACTTTTGCATATCGTTCGATGTAGGCTAGTAAGGCTGGTTAACCAGCCTTACTAGAGTACTCGCTTAAATTTGATACGTAATCACACTGTTTGTACACTAGTCGTTTATGGTTCTTAGGTTACCTTTATTTATCCAATACAAACCTCTGTTTTATTCTTTGGGCATTGAGCAATACCACTTTTATCGTCAACAAAGTCTTTGGACACAAGATCATAATACTTGGGGACCTTATTGCAATTAAAGGTCACGCGAAGGACGTATGGATCTTTCTACACAGACCAAAATAAAGAAAAAAAAAGAAAATCAATACTGGTAACACTGAATGTATGTGCAGAGGAATAAACTGGATATATCACGTAGTTTTAATAGCAAGTAAGACCTGATACAACTATCATATGTAAACTACAACTTCTTGACAAATGAGACAGTCCACTATTAAAATGAAGAACATAGACAGCTTCAAAATGATATTGAAAACTATTCTTTCATGACATTGCTACGTTGCTGGATCTGTTTGTATTTCTTGCATTCACTATTATTCCTAAGTTAACTCTAACTTCAACAATACAGAAGGAGATTTGTTCCATTGACCAAATAATTGCTGTAGTTATTGGCATATATTGGGCCATGGTTTAATGTTACAATAACTAGCTATTGTATGTAGGAGAATAAATTAAACGCGTATTTAAAATCCCCCGGTGGATTTGTCCCCTAGCCTGTAGGCTAATTGCGTAAGCGAGGTATCATCTGGACAGAATTCATTAATTATTACCGTCTAGTTTCAAGAATATTGAGAGTAGATTGGCGTTTACTGTAGTTCTATACTTGAAATAAGAGTAAGGCATATCCGATTATGATTATTATCAACGTCGATGATATTGAAAATGGATAGCGAAGAGTCATTTTGTAATAAATAAATGACTGACAGTGCGATATTTAGTATCCTATTGATCAATTGAGCTTTAATGGATAGAAATATTTACGCTACAGTATAATTCGACAGCGAAGATGACTTAGCCCACTGGATGTCTGATTGGCTTGGTAAATAGTCGGGAATAGGATTTGAAAATTGGCGAAGCGTGTACTGTATGGTGAGCCACAGTCGTTGGTTGGGATTAGGGCTTATAGCCGTGTACCCTTTCTACATCGGCGTCCTTATTAATTAATGATGTATTCTAGGTCCATTTTATAATAAAAAGTTTGGCTTACATCAAGGATTAGTTAATTAAATCTCATCTATCATTTTCTTAACTAATTGATAATGTGTGCTTAGACTGCGCTCCTGTCGAGTTTAGCGATGATTACAATTACAAAGTCTTGCAAATAGTATACAGCCATGAGTCTGAAAGCTTATGCTATTTAGTACTCTATTGCACTTTATTCCAATATTCAATAAGTTGTTTCTGTGGCTATCTAAATATCCCTTTCCCAATTTTTGTATTCAATAAGCGTCCATGGGTCATGAAAGTGAAATGGCTACTAGCCAAGTTGGAGTCATTTTTTTAGGCGTACAATGCAACGCTTCAGTACAAGGTATCCTTGATCAGGTTTTATTGCCATTGCGTGTCAAAATATGAAGGACATTAACAGGAGAACCCCGAGCCTTTTTAAAGTGCTTGGACATCTTGGTAAAGTAGAAATAGAAGGGTTTATGCCGAACGAACTGCTATCATCTACCGGGCTTACCCACATATTACAGTTTCAAAGTAGTGAATCAATCAATATTTTTCCTATAAACAATTTTCATGTTAACATGTGTCAAACTCGGCATGGATAAAAAAATTAGTTAAGCTTCTTTATTTCCATTTACTGTTTTATCCTGGGTTCATCTCCTGAAAAAGGACTATTTAACCTTTGGCTTACGCTAAAAGTGCTCCTAACGACCAAAACAGTTGGTAAAATATACCATATTAGTTTAACCCAAGTGGGCATCAGCCTTGAACTAAATCTTTCATGATTGGCATCGCAAAATCCTATTGATCTTTCCAACAGTGCACGTAACATCAATAAATAAATAGTGCTTTCCTTTTTGGACGAAATTAACGTGTAAGCTCATGGCTCCATGGACATTGTACAGTGCAGGATTTATGATAAGAAATGGATGTCATGAAAATCTGGCAAAAGAAGATAAAAATGTTGCAAAATCTCCCTAATTGAGTCAGACCCATCCAAGATGGCCGAATTTTACAAATGCCATGACGAAAGACATGCAGAAAGTAACAACTCGTTTAGTAAACTTTCATCCTTTGGTATATTCAAGTTTTCTATATTATAGAATGCAGTCCAATCAAGTTGGACAGCAAGCATGCAGACTAGGTATGATGATTGATTGCAAAATGGTTAGTGGCGATTCTTTATCGGTAATACAAGGAGAGATAATCCATTCAAGGGGGAAAGAAGGAGAAATTTTCCTGGAAAGGAGGGCTTGAAAAACTACGACAGAGGTTTCATTTATTACTTCCTAGGCCTAAATTGATTTAATTTCCAATCTTTATTCCAGCATTGTGTCCAGGAAGTCCCTTATCCAAACCACATTACGCTATTGGTGTTTATATGAAAGTGTCGTCGGTTGAATTCACGATTGAATAAGTCGACGACGATCCATTGGAAAATCTTTTTTTTTGCAAGCGTTGCTGGATTACAGCATTAAAATCAACTTTGCGCTACTGTTATCATGGTTGTATAGTACTTTCCATCTTGTCAATGATAAAGAGAGTAACACATTGATTTACTTTCTCTTCTCTATCGGTAAGTTAAAACGCTGCGTGATCGACATTTGTTCAGGATATTGATTGAAGATGGTAATGGGGAATGGAGACGGGGCGAAAGATTGTGATGTATTTTCCTTGCCATCACTTGATTACAACACGCAATCCAATGCTTTTCTCCACTTTGAAATGTTCTTGAATGCATTTTTCAATCTACCAACACTAACCGACGTAGCTACATCGTGGATTGGATTGCAGTCGTATGGTTGTTGGCAAGTACTATGCGCCTATGGCGATGGGGGAAAAAAAAGAAGATTTTTTTGCCATGGTTTCCATGTTGGTCGTTGGTTGAAATTGGCAATAAGATCGACCAGGAGACAGGAGGGTCTTCCATATGCAATCGTGATTGATTGGCGGCATGACCAGTTGATTTTCTCTTTTGCGCTGCCGTTAGCAGAATTGTGTCATTAGTACGGCGGCATAATGAAAGGAAAGGGGGAAAAAACCCTTCACGACCACTGTCTACAGTCTAGCGTTTTTACTCTGTCGGCTACTTCCTTGACTGCAGAATGATAGTACTGTCTACCGCAGTTGAAGTAGTGATGAAAGGGGAGAAAAAAAAAAAAGAAGAAAGAAAACGATGGCAGATTACTCGTGTTATCCTCATTTTTTTTTTAGAGGAGATCACTCGTCCATTTATAGCCCCATCCAAGTAGAATCCTATTTCATGAATGCTTTCCTCCATGAACTTGTAGTCTCATGCCATTCTATTGAAACTCCGTTGAAAAAACAATCTGGTTTACTTACCCACTAGGAACACTAGTCTATCATGGTAGAAATGACAAATAAGTCAAAAGAGTTGAGGAAAAAACCCCCCAAAAACAAGAGGGGAAAAAAAATAAAAAAACGACGCGGAGGAAGAAGAATTGAAAGATCAAGTTCTTCTCACTGCGTCGTCATTCTATCTTGACCGTGATGGTCCTATTTGCACTTGTACTCGTTGGCATCATTGAAGACGACAGGATTTCGTCTTGGTAGAATTAGAGTATTCTGTTTTTTTCTTGTTTGTTTGCTCAATTTATGACGACGATAGTAACATCATTATCCATATCATCATGCCAACTGGTGGTGCAACAACTTCTTACCTTAATAAGTCCATCGCAAGCCATGAACAAGGCAAACAGTAGAATGACTACTCGCATCTTTTGGCCTTTAATGTTGCGATTGGAAAGGAATAACTACCTTGGAATTTCTCCTAGTTCAACTAATTGAATAATTTGGCGTTAAAGATCTTTCGCTGATGGAGGAAGAAAAAAAAAACTGAAGCAATTTGCTAGTCGACTACAAATTAAAAATGCCCATCACTGAATGGATGGGGTGCTTGTTCACTCCATTGGTGTTATACTGTCTGTAAGCATTTCTTGGCAAAGGCTGTTTTCGACTGCTTTCAAGCAGTCAACAGCGCACAGTACAGCGTCGACTCAATACTGTACCAGACTACAGTACCAAGCCTTGAGTACAAAGTTCAGTCCAGTACAGTACTTTACATTATAAGAAAGGTGCAGTTTCTTTGCAGCGTACAGTACTCAGTGGGCTCAACACTGTACCAGGCCTTGAGTACAAAGTTCAGTACAGTACTGTACTGTACTTTACATTGTACTGTACTGTAAGAAAGGTGCAGTTTCGTTGCAGCGTACAGTACTCAGTGGACTCAACACTGTACCAGACTACAGTACAAAGTTCATGCCAATGTCGAGTACAGTACTTTACATTGTAAGAAAGGTGCAGTTTCGTTGCAGCGTACAGTACTCAGTGGACTCAACACTGTACCAGACTACAGTACAAAGTTCATGCCAATGTCGAGTACAGTACTTTACATTGTAAGAAAGGTGCAGTTTCGTTGCAGCGTACAGTACTCAGTGGACTCAACACTGTACAGTGTACAGTCCAGTACAGTACTGTACTTTACATTGTAAGAAAGGTGCAGTTTCTTTGCAGCGTACAGTACTCAGTGGGCTCAACACTGTACCATGCCTTGAGTACAAAGTTCAGTACAGTACTGTACTGTACTTTACATTGTACTGTAAGAAAGGTGCAGTTTCGTTGCAGCGTACAGTACTCAGTGGACTCAACACTGTACCAGACTACAGTACAAAGTTCATGCCAATGTCGAGTACAGTACTTTACATTGTAAGAAAGGTGCAGTTTCTTTGCAGCGTACAGTACTCAGTGGACTCAACACTGTACCAAACTACAGTACAAAGTTCATGCCAATGTCGAGTACAGTACTTTACATTGTAAGAAAGGTGCAGTTTCGTTGCAGCGTACAGTACTCAGTGGACTCAACACTGTACAGTGTACAGTCCAGTACAGTACTGTACTTTACATTGTAAGAAAGGTGCAGTTTCTTTGCAGCGTACAGTACTCAGTGGACTCAACACTCTACCAGGCCTTGAGTACAAAGTTCAGTACAGTACTGTACTTTACATTGTAGAAGGTACAGTTTCTTTGCAGCGTACTGTACAGTATTATGCTGTCAATACTGTACTTTACGTAAGCAAATTTGAAGAAGAACACATATGAAATCTTGGACTCATAAGCTATGTACTAATCCAATAACTGGAGTCAAATGGATTGAAATTGCATCATGTTATTTCATTTTATAAAATCTGGAAAGAAAGGACTCACGGTGTACATGTGTACAGTAGAACGCCGTTAAAATACTGTAGTAGAGCATCAAGGCCTTCAGAACAAAGTTCATTTCAAAGTGGTGTACAACCCAGTGTACATTCATTAGTACTTGCAAAGACTTTGCGGTACGCATACATGATTTGTAGTACTGTAGGCAGACACTTTTCATTTCTACTGTACACTACTAATTTAAGAATAGCACAGTACAGCTGTATATGCTGTATTGTACACTGTACAGTAACTAGAAAGCTCTTCTAAATACCTAACAATTAGTTACTAATATTATCAATAATAGTAATTAGTAAGTAGAAAGCACTTCAAAATACAGTACCTGGTCAAGTGGATCATGGACTACAGAGTACAGTACAGTACTGTACTGTCGAAAGCAGTTTAAAATACGTACTGTGACGTCAGTGTACAATGTACTGTAGTATGTGGTCCAAACTACAGTATGTACTGTAGTTTATGACTGTCAGTACTGTACTAGTACTAGTACAGTACGCAAGAGAAAGCACAACGAAGTGGAGTCGGCTTCACTTCGTTGTGCTTTCTCTAGTAATGTCGTCGGCCATAACTCATCACGGTGTGGAGTAGTGGAATCAAAGAGGCTTTTTTTACCTGCACATTGGTCAAGATTGACTGAAGTCAAAGAACAATACAATATCCTATTCAAGCTTACCTCCAGCATAAGTACAAATCCTATCCTGATATTGTGATTTGTGCCTATACTGTCTATTATTGTGCAGGTATGCATGGTAGTAGACTGCTCACTATACAAGTAGTCTATCGACTGGATGCCAGCCCAACCACAAGTGATCCACCAAAATAAATAAATAATTATCATCATCATCATTCATCCATTGATATACTACACATTGACCTACAACGATACAGTATGTCGTCATCATTTGATGCATTTTGAATACCATTAGTATTAAGATAAGCAAAGTAGAAAGAGGAATGCATTATCCACACTTGTATCCCATATGCTGGTGATGGCGAATTGTTTCCTTTCAATGAATCATCATTTCATTGCACCATCAAGTACGTCTACGTCTACGCGCTAAAATCCATTTTCTGCCATTTTACTGTATGCTACAGTACAGTACAACACCGCAGTACAGTCTAGTACTGTACACTGTACACTGTAAAAAGGTACGGTATGGTTACACACTGGCACAGTCAATCCACGGTACTACAGATAGTATAGAGTGGACTGACATGTACCATTCTGTATGAGAAAAAGCCACTGGCGTCTACAGTGTACAGTACAGTAAAGGGACACACTCGCACAGTCTAATCCACGGTACTACGGACATTGCAGAGTGGACTGACATGCACCATTCTGTATGAGAAAAAGTCACCGGCGTCTACAGTGTACAGTACAGTAAAACGGGACACACTGGCACAGTCCAATCCACGGTACTACAGACAGTACAGAGTGGACTGACATGCACCATTCTGTATGAGAAAAAGCCACTAGCGTCTACAGTGTACAGTACAGTACAGTACAGTAAAAAAGGGACACACTGGCACAGTCCAATCCACGGCACTACAGACAGCACAGAGTGGACTGACATACACCATTCTGTATGAGAAAAAGCCACTGGCGTCTACAGTGTACAGTACAGTAAAGGGACACACTCGCACAGTCTAATCCACGGTACTACGGACATTGCAGAGTGGACTGACATGCACCATTCTGTATGAGAAAAAGTCACCGGCGTCTACAGTGTACAGTACAGTACGGGACACACTGGCACAGTCCAATCCACGGTACTACAGACAGTACAGAGTGGACTGACATGCACCATTCTGTATGAGAAAAAGCCACTAGCGTCTACAATGTACAGTACAGTACAGTACAGTACAGTACAGTAAAAAAGGGACACACTGGCACAGTCCAATCCACGGTACTACAGACAGCACAGAGTGGACTGACATACACCATTCTGTATGAGAAAAAGCCACTGGCGTCTACAGTGTACAGTACACCCTCGCACAGTCCAATCCACGGCACTACAGACAGTACAGAGTGGACTGACATACACCATTCTGTATGAGAAAAAGCCACTGGCGTCTACAGTGTACAGTACACCCTCGCACAGTCCAATCCACGGCACTACAGACAGTACAGAGTGGACTGACATACACCATTCTGTATGAGAAAAAGCCACTGGCGTCTACAGTGTACAGTACACCCTCGCACAGTCCAATCCACGGCACTACAGACAGTACAGAGTGGACTGATATACACCATTCTGTATGAGAAAAAGCCACTGGCGCCTACAGTGTACAGTACACCCTCGCACAGTCCAATCCACGGCACTACAGACAGTACAGAGCGGACTGACATACACCATTCTGTATGAGAAAAAGCCACTGGCGCCTACAGTGTACAGTACCATATCGCTGGCTTGAGTGTCTACTATACTGTACAGTACAGTACAGAGTCTGCAGTGTAGTCAATGCTCCTCGATCACTCACTCCTGTACTGTACTGTACTGTACCCTACTGCTGAGTTCAAACAGCCAACAACTCTTCTCTCTCGCCATCGCTTTGTAGCTTTTCTGAAGCTTAAGCTATTCTTTCCAATTCAAGATAGAAAACAACTAAACTACTTGTTGTATTCTCTACCAATAAGCTTGAGAAGAAGAAGAAATCCACCATCGACACCTTTTTCAAATTTCTCTCTTTACTAGGGAATGCATGCAGTCTCCTTATCAAGATCGCCAGTGCCAAGCAAATCGGACTCGTGATAATTCAATTCACTTGTTGCCCAGCCAAGTTCAGCCGACAATATCCAAAAGGAAATTGCCAACTGACAACACATTGGATACTTCTTCCTTCAATAAGAAAGAAAAGACTGACATAGTAAAATCTGCTGTGAATATCGCCTTCAACATGGCTAGTAATCAAGCATCCGTCAAATCGACCAAATTATCGGTCAAAAATTTCAAACGTATGTATCATCTAAATCCTACTTCAATCCTCTTCAACCAATGATCACCAACCAGTATGAATTCATCAATAATCGACTAGTCAATCATTACAATCATGGTGTACTACCATTCAATGCCAAACTACCTAGGACAAGCGTATAGACCAGTCGATACAACGCTTGTAGTAGAATAGAATCATTTTTCAACCATGCCATCAGCCCCCAAAGTCCATAGCACAAGCTTGTTCTCATACAGTGTATCCTCGACGGTACCATACAAGACATGTTATACCGTATGCAAGAGAGCCATATTCGTTTCAAGCGAGCATCACCAACCCACCACAGAAGCAAAGTGGATGGAAATCCCTATCCGACCAACTACACTAGACATTTTTCGTTCTTAACGATAACGTTAATCGGTTCATGTAATAGAAATTGACTTTAGTTGACAGTAAACGACAATAAGATGGCTCAAGTTATAATATCTTGTAGGTCAAGCACTGTACCAATCGCCTTGCTATCACTTCGCTCCATGCCAACTTGCCTTGATTCATCAGTAGCTACAAATTCTACTGTACAACGAGTGATTTTATAACTGTCCACTTCTACTGTAGTCGATAGCACTATTGCAGGTCAAGACCAATCATTGGTACGCATATTTCGCCTCTTGTAACATCTATTTCTACTTGATTGCTAAAAGCCAATGACCGTATTTGACCCAATCAGCCAGATATTCTTCTTGTTTACCTTCAACTCATATAGTCTATCAATTGTAAATATGGGTCAAGACAAATTGGACGTATTTCGTCTCCTTTCACTTCTATTGACACTTGATTGCTAAACTAGTGCCAATACAGTTTATGCGATATCAATTAACAGTCAACTCAACATGTTGTCCAACATCTGAAATGATCACATCTTCAAAATGCAACTGCAAAGGCTGCAATACAGTAGATGCGATATCAATTGACAGTCAACTCAACATGTTGTCAAACATCTGAAATGTTCACATCTTCAAAATGCAACTGCAAAGGCTACAATACAGTAGATACGATATCAATTGACGGTAAACTCAACGTATTGTCAAACATCCGAAATGATCACATCTTCAAAATGCAACTGCAATGGCTACAATACAGTAAATGCGATATCAATCGACAGTCAACTCAACATGTTGTCAAACATCTGAAATGATCACATCTTCAAAATGCAACTGCAAAGGTCTTCTTATCTACTACGTCGAAAAAGGATCCAAATAATTTGTAGTCGAGGCTTGTCTCTTGAATAATAATTATAATCAATCAGTTTGCATTGACGGTACTGTACTGGAGTAATGAAATCAATGTCATTTTCTAAACATGTTCAAAGAACAAATTAGACGTTGTTGTAATACTCTATATATGCATCATTTTTTGTGCGTCTATATTAATTATGGCTATTCGGTAACACATGTTTTTCATATTTTCCACCTCGATACCAAACACGTATGTAGCCAAAGTACGATTACCGGATGCCGGCAAAGAGGAATGGTGGAACCAATTACGCGAAGCTGTGCGCGCAATCCACAATCGTTGTCCCATTTCGTACAATCGTGAGGATTTGCATAAAGCAGTTGGACATATGTGCACACACTCGCTATCTCCTCGATTATACAACGAATTGAAAATTCAGTGTGAAGAATACACTAAAGCAAGTCTTCATCAGTTGATAGAGTATCCTCAAAGTTTTACTGTGTCAAGAAATATCGATTCTGCAATGCATTTTATCGATTTGTGTTGGTAACGAATATTAATGAGTCTGTCATTTTAATCTATGTTATTGATCGTTGTAATGGACTGTATTACTACAACTCCTATAGTTTAGTCCATTTATACTTTAAAGTGTCAATTCCTAGGTTAGCAATATGCTAATATGAAATAACTACGTTAGACATTCGGTGACTGACTATTTTAAATAGACGCTACGTTCAATTTCTTAACCCAATAATAAGTGATTTTATGGATGAAATGGCATATTTGATAAAATTGAACTCACTTTGGAAAGATCATTGCAATCAAATGGTAAATCATTGATTTATAGGTGTCACTTTCATTTAATTTGTATTATTAAAAGTATGGCTTCATTGATAGCCATTAGCAAATGGTAAATTATGGATTTATAAGTGTCGCTTTCATGTAATTTGTATTATTAAAAGTATGGCTTCATTAATAGCCATTAGCGTAATTTCCATATCTTTTACAAGGAGGTGTTAAAGATACGACAAAGAATGATATTTAAAAGTTGAATAGAATACACATTTTTTTACTAATCTGTATGATTTATAATGAATGCCAATTAGATTATGATTCGTGGAATTTATCTCACTTTGGATCGTACCTATGTCATGCAAAATCCTTTAGTATTATCGCTATGGTAAGTAATCAATGCTATCAGATAGCCATTTGTAGGTGCTTGTATGCAAATAGAGAACCTGTACTACATTAATGATGAAATTTTCCCATAGGGATATGGGATTGGAGCTATTTCGAAAATTTATTGTTAGCGAACAAACAGTCGAAAAGAAAACTATTGACGGACTCCTGTCTTTAATTTCTCGTGAAAGGTACAACCAATTACTAAATAAAAACTTCGCTCTCCTGTAGTAGCAAAACTGTACATAATTAATTTCATTTTTGTGTTATTAGGAATGGCGAGACTATTAACAAGAGCCTAATTAAAAGTCTTTTACGAATGTTAAGTGAACTCCAGGTATATAGACATAATATTGTATTGAACGATGGCGTATCGTGTTTAATATATACTACGATATTGTAGATGTATCAATATCATTTTGAAAACAAATTTCTACAAGTTACGGAGTCGCTATACGCTACCGAAGGCCAAAATTTTTCCCAATCGCTAGAGGTTGGTTTAGCACTAGTCAGATTATTCGCTGCTTTGTACAATACATATCACACTTGCTACTAATGTCAATACTGTTTCATCTAAGTACAGTCCGAAATTTCATGCTGTGACATAGTTTTTGTAATTTTTTACTACCAATAAGATTCCCGATTATCTTAGTTTCGTTGATAAACGAATAAAAGAAGAGAGTGAACGATGTTTACATTATTTGGAACATAGTACAAAGTACGTATGATCTCTGATTCATTATTGGGTAAAGAAGAATTGTCTAAAAAATTGCATATTTTTGTTCCTCTACTAATGTATGCGTACAGAAAACCGTTGCTTACTTCCGTTGAAAAGCAATTAATTGAATATCGAAAAGAAATGATTATAAATAAGGGTAAGACGTATATAAGGCTTTACTAGCATATTGTCTTATCACAATAATGACATAGGATGAATGGTATATGGTTAATAATATTCTAATTACTTACTTCAAATTATATTATCTAACTTGATTAGGTGTAAGCGAACTACTTGATACTAATCGGCTTGATAAGCTAAAATTGATGTATAGCCTACTAGCTAGAGTAAATGGAGGATTAGATGAACTATGTAAAAGATTTAGTTTATATATTCAGGTATCTTTGATTTCAATTACTAGTAGACTCGTAGGTATTACTGATGAAGTATCAACTTATGATCGATCATTAAATTTTTATTAGGAACGAGGAACTTCAATGGTAATGGATACTGAGCGTGATAAAACTATGGTTACTGAACTATTGGATTTTAAATCGAAATTAGATTCGGTGATAGAACTATCATTTGACCATAATCCAAAGTTTATTAACACTGAAAAGGTTGGTTCTTCGCAGTATTTTGAATAATAAAATTGTTTTAATTAAAAATTTATTTATAGCCAGTTTTTTTCATGTTATTAGGATTCCTTTGAGACTTTCATAAATAGGAGAACCAATAAACCAGCGGAGTTAATTGGTATCATGATAGTCTTATGCATTAAAAATGTTCATTAACTTAATTTTATACAATCTAATAGTAAATGATTTATATTCGCTTTACTTATTTAGCAAAGTATATTGATATGAAATTGCGAGCTGGTAATAAGGTCAGTATACAATACATTTATACGCACTATCTTACTATTATCAAGTACGTACTGTATCTATTGATAACAGGATTACCAACCCAAGAATATTTTTTACAATTTAGGAAGCAACGGATGAAGAATTAGATAAAATTCTTGATAAAATTATGGTGATGTTCAGGTTTATTCAAGGTTAGAACGTTACATACGGGCTCCTGTTGTTCCTGTAATGTAACACTTTATTAATAAATTGCATTAGGTAAAGATGTTTTCGAAGCATTTTATAAGAAAGATTTAGCCAAAAGATTACTAGTTGGCCGAAGTGCTTCTGTCGATGCGGAAATGTCGATGCTGCTTAAGTTAAAACAGGGTTTGTAATTATGCTCATTTCATTATTGTAATAATGGCAAGAGATACATCAATTAAATCGCTACCTCTTATTCATTGATACTGTTCACTTACAGAATGTGGCGCTGGATTTACTAGTAAGCTAGAAGGGATGTTTAAAGATATTGAACATTCGAAAGAATTGATGCCACATTACAAGCAGGTACTTATCAGAGGAATTAGCCGTATAAATTATCGTGTGCTGATATCGGAAGAATGCATGCAGTATGAATTGTATGTTACTTAATCTCTTTGATAATACTATTGATTACTTGGACTATTAGTACTTAAATAATCAGAAAATTGGCCATAACTTGGATATGACAGTCAATGTTTTAATGACAAGCAATTGGCCAACGTATCATCCAATGGACGTTATTCTGCCTGAGTACATGATTTCTTATCAAAAGCATTTTCAGCAATTTTATTTGTCCAAGCACAGTGGTCGTAAATTGCAATGGATTAGTACGTTAGGACATTGCGTTGTCGCAGCTAATTTTCCTCTGGTAAATATATCGACAATTGTTGATGTATAACTGATGCTATACTAGTATGCATGCAGTTGCAATATCCAGCTGTTATTTTATGTTCACTAGGGAAAGAAAGATATTGTAGTGTCACTTTTACAAACTCTGGTACTGCTACAATTTAATAAAGAAGATGAAATCTCCTTCTTAGACTTAAAACAACGTACAGGCATCGGTAATTGAAATCATAATATACCGAGTATGACTAAAAAGTGCGTTTATAATTAATATTATCGTTTTCTACTAATAAAATTGCTAGATGACGCAGATATGCGACGTACTTTACAATCTTTAGCTTGTGGAAAAGTTAGAGTCCTTCACAAAAAGCCCAAGGTATGAATACATTACAGCTACTTTCAAATATTTAGCCGTGTGTATAAATCTTATAAGGAGTATTTTTAGTTATTGGTGTGTATGCTCTTTTCCGCAACGTAGGGTAAAGAAGTTGAAGATAACGATGTGTTCGCTTATGTGTCAGATTTTAAGCATAAACAATTTCACATCAAAATTAATCAAGTGCAGATGAAAGAAACAGTATGTAACACCCTATATAATCGCCAATTTTTTTCTTATCAAATTTTTATTCATTGGTATCTTTTGTACGAATTTAATCCTCTTCTAGTTGGAAGAAAATATTAATACGACCGAGCGTGTATTTCAAGATAGGCAGTATCAGGTTGTAGCCCCTCATTTTTTGGTCGATCTCGTTAAATATTGGTTCTAAAGAAATAATTTACGGTTAATCGAAGCTAGTATTCTAACTATTACCTAATTTGTGATCTTAGATTGATGCTGCGATTGTGCGTATTATGAAAACTCGTAAAACTCTCAGTCATGCTTTGTTGGTCACAGCGGTTTATGAACAGTTGAAATTCCCCATTAAAGTAAGATTGCATAATAGAGTTGATAAAAATGTTAGGCACAATGTGTTTTTATTAATACGATACATGGTATTTATGGTAAATGCAAATATATGAATTTCAGCCGTCGGATTTAAAGAAAAGAATAGAAAGTCTTATTGAACGTGATTACATGGAACGTGACGAAGATGACGCATATCAGTATCACTACGTAGCTTAAGGTTGTTTATTGTTAATTTAATCTTACAGTTGGTATTGGGATTGCTACAGTATTAAAATATTATTAACTCTTTGTCTGTGAGGTATAAGAGAATATTATACGTAGCCAATTTGTGAATGTTGATCTCTTTAATGTATTATAGGCACATTAGATGATGATAACTTACCGTTATTGATGCTTTTTTTAGCAGTTTCAGTAAGTCTCGGAAGATTGTCAGTGATTTAATTCATTACATCTTTCAGAGATATTGTCATGATTGGTAAACTATTTCATATTGGATAGCTGCAGTATCTATATAGACTACCGACCACTAAAATACGAACTTAAATATCTGTACATGTACCTATATTAGCAACATGCATCTGAAAGTGGATTAGCTTTTATCAGTGACATTAAATTCTTAGTCATTGGTAAATTTAAATTGTCAGTACTATGTTCATGAAAGCAATTCTCTTGCGATGCGATTGTCTACGATCTGTAACATATAGTATCGTTGAAAGGGTTATTGAAGGTGGAATTTCTTGCTATTTTTCTTAGTCTTGTATCTGTAGCTGAAAGTGAAAAACACCTCTGTATGAAATGAAACTATTAAAGTTAATTTTCTTGTTACAGTCTACTTGTAGTGAGATGGACGGAAAACGTATGTGTATTTCCTGCATATGGCATATAGTCAAGATATAGAATAACTGTTATTACGTGGGTTTGACTAAATGAAGGCTATGCGATATCATCAAGATCAATACTTCAGTCCCCTACAGGGAAATACTGTACAATTTGAATAATACGTATACGTACACGTAGAACTAATTGCAAACAAGAGGGCAAAAGCCCTATAGGTACCTATAAAACTTGCTGCATCCCTCTATTGATACTACTCGTAAATTCGATCGAATGTAGCTTAGCGTGACTAGTAAAGCTATGCCTAGTAGATTTAACTTGACTTCTACTCCCTATCAATATGCAGTATTACAGGTTTAAGATCGCAGGCAGGAATGGTTGTATCGTAGTAACTTCGATGTAAGCGATTAATAAGCTCAAATGTTGTCTGAGCGAGTAAGTTGCTGACTAGCAAGTTGTAATTTGTAAATCTAAACGGTGATTGATTGTTTCTGATCAACAGAAGAAATGATTGCAGTAGCATAGAAACAAATGAATTGAAGCAGTAGTAAAATACTAATTAGTATTTATTGACAGCAGTAATTGCTATTTTACGTTTCCAATAAACTCATACAATTTTTATTGTAGCGCATCAAAAGTCCAAACATTTAGAGACAAACAGCTCAATTAGGAAAAATTTGGAAGCATACGTATACTGTCCTGATGTAATGTATTTACAATTACAAGTAGAGAAAACTCAGTAGTTAGGACAGTTTAATTACTGTATGAGTATATATTTGTTTAACTGGACAAATGAAATTGGCGAAAGAACTAATGACAGAAAAATACAGCAGCAGAATAAGCGTACCAATTTGACTAAATCTTTTTGTTTGCCGGTAAATGATAAATCATGAATGATTGATTGTCAATTTTGCGGCAGATTTCTTTTCTCGGATAGATCTTCGTTTTGGATACGTAGATATTACTTGGCGAATCACCTTTATCAGTATTGATGGGTATATTGATCAGATTTATGCGCGATGACCAGATATATCCTAATGGAGAATAAAGATAGGTCATCAACCATCTTGAAAATTGATCAATCTGTAGCTACGACAAAAGCAGAAGTAGGAACTTTATTTTAGATAGTACCTGTTGAACTGCTGTACTGCCAGTGATTCTTCGATCGCGTTCCATTAGATACCTTTCGTATTTGTCCAATCTATATCTTTTCGGCTGCAAAGGAAAGAATTGCCTCATTTTAATGGTTACTGTAAAATAAGCGTTAAAATTCCCAATCGATAGGTAATGTTATGCCTTTCGAGTTTTCAGCCCGGGTTAACTGCACTGTCTATTTTAGGACATATCACCAAGTCTGACTTCTTGTAAATATATAAACATTAAGCTATCTTTTACGACAAAAGGTATGGTAATCTAATATAATGATGCCACAACGTCTATTTCTAGCAACTTACGAGTAGACTAACGTTATGGATTGCAAAACACTTGTCACATAGTAACGCAGCTACTTTAGCCGTGCAGCATGACATACAGTCTACACGGTATAACTAAAAGCTTGAATTCATGTTCCTTAACAAGTTATGAATAGGCTGCTTTTCTATTTTAGACTTTTAGTAGCTTCATTTTTGTTAGTGTAGTATTCAAGAGGAAATGCAAAGGCAATAAAAGAACGGTTAGCCATCATACGGCTTCCCTTTTAAAATAAAAAAAGCTCGCAAGTCTGGTATGAATATTGCACAGTAGTACAGTACAGTACTGTCTACGCTGGCGGTATAGTATCCGGTCAATTTGGTGGCCAAAGCCAGAATTTTAGATCAACATTGATCCAATTTAACATTGACAAGCATTTACGCTATGATATAAACTACTAGAGAAGCAGTCAAGTTGTAGTAATGTTGGCCATTGCCATCTACTCGTAATTACTGTAGTCTAGTTATAAATCAATACAACAGCACAATCTGGTACTGAAATTCTAAAAACTACTATCAGTTATACACTCTACCGCATACTGCTTAGAATTAAAGCGGTTTAGCGCTAACTAATGTTGATACTAGCGATCAAATTAGCCTTTGATGAAGATTAACTGTTGCACTGTTCATTTTATACACAATCAATACCAAACTGTAAGCCCCACCAACTCACCGCCATGGTTAACTGGTGATTGGAGAAAGGCCTTTCTGCATACTTAGTCTGTTCGACTTCTACCATACTGTACAGTACAATCTGGCGTGGTGATTGCTTTTATTTCTATTTTTTTCTAACTCACTCAGCATCACATCATGATCAATCTTGACATGCAGATATTTCAATGTAGCAACTATAAGAGTACTAATATCGATTCCCTGATCAATCGATCTCGCTCTCGTCCATTTACTATTCAATTTTTTTACCTTTCCGTTATTGGCAAATCGGTCAACAAATTTCATGCCGTAACTCGATGCGGACATCAAGCCAATAATAATTAGAAAAGGCGGAAGTGCTTCGTACCACATATTAATTTCTATTAGCAAAGAGAAACGTTGAGTCGATCAGTTCTAAACTTGCTATCACAGCAGACAAGGTGCCAAACGATGAAAAAGCTCCGAGGAAAAGCTTCCAAATAATTAATCGTCGCTCGGAAGCAATATCAGAAAAAAATGATCCAGCAGCAATCAACAGTCGTGAGGAGCTAGAGTCTCATACCGTAGAGTGTACAGTGTGCGATACTGTAGTGTTCGGTGTACTGTACACTGTGTCACCAGCATGCAACGCGGCATACCTGGAAATGGTATGGACTGTACAGTACTGTACACTGTGTACAGAAGTATGGACGGTAGGAAGTGGCAGTAGCTACAGACAGATGGACTTTTCTTACCCCCAATGAAGCAGTAAAGATCGAAAAATGGCTACTTACGTTAGTATGAATCTTCCATGTCTGTTTTCCAAGTAACATCTACAATCTTACATGAATATTTCCAAGCAGAAGTTAGCTTAGCTGCAGATAATAAGATTCAACGTAATATTACTTAATTTAGATGAAAATTAGTCAATTCAAAATCGACTGTCTTTATACAAGAGAGGAGTGAGTCTACTGTACTTGGTAGCTACTTTGGAGCCCAGCTGTAATCAGTACGGCAAGTTCGAATGACCAGCCATGGACTTTTAGACTTGTTGCCAAGCAATCTAAAAGTTCATGGACTAGCGAAATAATAATCAGCCTCCATATTTAGCAGCCAACAGTATACTAGTGGAGGTGAAAAATACCTCTATAGCATTTACTAGAAAGTCGTCAAAATGCTATACTCTTAAGTACCGTATTCTGCATTCTACTGTAAACATAAGCAGATGCTGGATCCATGCACTGTACTGTAGATCTCTGATGCTCAACTCTGCCTAGGCGTTTACTTCCTTTAAAAAATTAGTAACTAAATATTGTACTAGAAATCCATAGTACGACACACCTAAAGTCTACACTAAATATAGCATCGAGTAGTCCATGAAGAAAACTTACGTATATACTTAGGCTAAAAGGTATTTTTATGATGACTTCTATAAATTCGATGTCTGTTAAAATGGAACATTGAATTATTATCAGTGCGGTTAAATTAGTCGCAATGGCTAAGGAAAGAGGCACAGAAGATCTACAGTAAGGAACTGTCTTTCGATATTTTTGGCCTTTATCCCAGAGAAAAGGTCTGATCGTTGAGTATGATTGTGTTTGCAGTAAAATGCGTTGATTTATATTTACCGCAAGTCTGTAATTAGATAAACATGATTGCTGTAATGACTGTAGTTTCCTTTCACAAGGACTACTAACTCAAACGATCCTTTTTAAAACATTGCTAACTATCCCTGGTAAAGATCGATATCCACTCTACTATTTCAAATTGTCCACGGTAAATCATCCGATGGTGAGCGATCAGGGGCAAATTGGCCGAGTCCGTTCCGAAACTCGCGATAAAACACAACGCTTCTTATTCAATGAGCATTTACACAGTTTAATACACATTATATTATTGTACTACTACTGTACAACGTATGTGAGTACAAAAAGGAAGTGATTAACCCACTACGCTATAACTATATCGATAAACCATCTACACATTATATTATTGTACTACTACTGTACAACGTATGTGAGTACAAAAAGGAAGTGATTAACCCACTACGCTATGACTATATCGATAGACCATCAGTAGAATAGTAAAATGATCCACTGTTTAATCAATAAGCTACGTAGGAACATAGGAAAATTGACTCAAATACGCCTATAATGCATTAGTTTATAGAAAAGGTGCTGAAAATAGAATATTAAACAATAATAATTATCACGTATTACTGTAGGATAGAACGGGTACCAATATTAATTCTGTACAATATCAGAAATTGAACGTAGCAAATCACGAATCTATTGGAGATATAAATAATCATTAAAAAATCGACTACATGATGGCAATTGCTATAGTAAGAAAATAATAATCATCGAATAACGATAATCATGTGAGATAAGGCAACAGAACATATTGCGAAAGGGTGGGTTATCGGTAGCGTTCTAATTTACAGTACCGTAGATACTTATTACGATCCATATTGATAGTCCTTCATTAATTGACAACGCTAAATGAGCGTCACACACTTTCAATAGACTTTAAGATACAGCCAAATAATTCCTGCTGAAATGACAATATGTACAAATAGTGCACAGAATAGCAATTTATACTAAAATTTATACAATAAACAAATAATCGATAATCCTCTTTTCATTATCATTACAAATTCTTACTGTAAATGAATAACGTATTTTTCTACAGTTTGCAAATAATGTCTAGCCATAAGATATTCTCCATCTAATAACACAACAGCAGAATGAATACAGTCAAGATGAGCCATATCAAACAACTGTTATTTCATCTGTACAAATATTGTATCATTTCCTTGTAGCCCGTTATTAACTAAAGATGAATTCAACGGAAAGCTTGATACATTTCGGCGGGGAAATGCTGTAATTAGTTCGTACTCTCGCATATCATATCCTTGATCTGAAACGAACTTTAACAATTCCTGTAGCATATTATCAAAGATATAGTTAATTTACGACTGCCGTGCCATAGCTAGCGCTATGAATTATTAAACATTACCAATATTTTCATCATTCTGTTTGTTTACCTTAACAGTAGCACTGGCTTGAAAGGATGCATATCTTCTTTCTCCATTAGGAAAACGAAGTAAAAATTTAATAGGATTTGTATCTGAGAAATGCGTACGTAGATTTTCAGTTAGCCATACACAACCAACTTATACGCGTATATTTCTAATAAAGTAGTGAGTAAACCGATTTACTTACGCGTATATTCCGGTAAAAGTTGATCTTTACTTCTAGTCAAATCAACCTCATCAGTTTCTCTTACAACAGAGTTTATAACCATTACTTCACTAATAGATTTCTCACTTTCAATGGATGGTTTACGAATTTCTATAACATCAACGTAGAAAATAGTTATGATCATGGATATCAGAGCTGATAATTTTAAGAAAGATGCACATTGATCTTACCATTTTTTATACCTATATCTTCCTCACAACTGTCGCTTTCGTTAAAGTCATCATCGCTTTTGGAAAGAATGACATCGCTATCACTATCTAAAATAACTGTTTCTTCTACCTTTTCACTGGTCTTATGATTTACACAAGATTCTTGTATTGATGCTGCAATAGCAGCTTCTAATTGTGACTCCTCGCTATGATCTATTATATTTGTCTGAAATAGGAAAGTTTCAATTACATAATTGATAGATAAGACACTAAAGACGTTAAAATAACTGTACCACTATCTGCGCGTTAAATAATACTACACTTAAATTATCATTTGTACCTTTCGCTTTGACCTGTTCTTTGATGGTGACTCGATCATAGGATTTTCTGATAAAAATCGAGTTACTATAGTTTGATAAAATACTCGTTTAAACCTTTTGGATTTAGGTTTCAAAAGACAGAATTTTATCATAATATTTCGTAAGGTATACGATTGTAGTATTATAGATTCATTTTCAAATTGATGGCATCTTAACATAATTGTATTTCAATTTAAGAAAATGTATCTAGAACTCTATAAGTAACCTGTAGTACAAAAAGTAGAAGCTTCAGTTTTCGATAATGATAGTAATTTTCCTCCTATATCGTTCATTTGACACAAATAAATTACGTTTAAATTTTATAGAAACCTCTACAAGGATGATGTTGCCTATCGACACATTTAGAATAAGAAGCAAGAGTACCAAAGCTGCTAAACGATATAACTTATATAATCAGGTTGATAAATAGGTATACGTGTAAAAGGGAAATACCTGTACGGGGATCTATTATAGCAATGTGAGGATAAGAGGAAACATTGTATAACCGCGCATATCGATATCCTTCTTCACTATCATGGTAAACCTTTGAATGATCGATAAAGCGATATTTTATAACTTATTCAGTTAATTTAGATCTCAGACGTGAAAGAAATTTTCATTACTTTAGTACTATATGTTACCTGCCAAAAAACGAAACTTTCTTTAATAATATCCCGCACGATATCGTTACTCCAGACATCCCGATTCAATACTTGACAGCTAAATTCTTTCATATCCTGTAAATTAACTAGTAGCCATTTCTGTTCTGTTCGACACCTTTGACGAGCCTATCAAGAAAAGTGTCGGCAATCAATATTACTCTATGTCCAAAACGTGATCACGTCGGTGATTGCGCTGTAAGACGATAGCATCTGGTGTATGTAAACGAATATTTCGAGATTTGTTTAATTTATACACAAGTATGCGTACGTGTGTATGTAATTTTGTACAATGGTATAACAGCAGTTCAATTATAGTATCAAAGGTAATCAATAAAAGTAAAGAAATCGATCATAGTATCTATAATATTGGTGATACTCACAGATTCAAAATCTCCATGATGAATTAGATCAATTGGTGGCCTAAATAGATCATTCAAGTTTCGCTTCTTACTACTATATGATGAAGTTTCACCAGATTCTCTAATCCCTGAAGATTGCAAGTAGCAAGAGAGTACAAATATTTAATCTGGTTAAGAAAGTGGCCAATTGGCAGATTATTCATCGATTACATACGCGCTTCTTCTCGGTAATCACGAAAGTTATCGAATGGGGACGTGGACGAAATTTTTCTTTTCCTGTAAGCTCCTATATACGTACACATAGATTAAGCCGTCATATATCAACTTTTGTACAGAGCCAACGTAGAGCAGTATGGCTTATTAATATTGTGCGTCTATCGAGCAGGAAAATGTGACACTAAGATGCAGTCATTAGTAACAGATTGATATTGACAGGAGCTTCTCTATACTTTACCAATGAATCACTGATAGAGCAATGTAATTAAGGACAATTGCTGTATTTTTACATTGCTCTAGATCATGTAGTTACTTATCAAGGGATCGAATTAGAGTTCTAGAATTAGACGTAGTGATGACTACCAAGGCCAATGAATGATATATCCTTCGTTCGTATATCTCGTATTTATAGCGTTAGAAAAGAGTTTAACAGAACTTTCAAAATACAGTATTTTAAATTTCTAACCTAAATCTAGCCAAGAAAGACAGGAAACATAAGCAACTAAAATTGAATCAATTTAATAGTACAATAGCATGATAGTATCACTGAACTTTTAAATCCACGACAATTACAGGTTACAGTAAGTATTTAGTACAGCCATTAAGTTCATCATTGATCAGTTTTAGTCGATCAGCCAATAGGCAATTCATTCATCAAATAAATACTGTAGTTAAGTCCATACGCTATATAGAAATTTGCTGTACTATGCTTTAATCCATTGCTAGTTTGTCGATGTGTCACTTTCTAATGTCGTTTTATGCGAGCATAGTAATTTACGAACAGAAGAGTATTGAGGTCGTGTATTGCATATGCGTTTGTCAAGAATATAAAGGAGATTGTCCTCAGCTTACAATATTTTACATTTAAAAATTGACAACGGTACTTACTTTGAACAAAATTGCTGCCTTGCACTAAAACTTCTTGTGTCTGAGGAATTGGATCACGTACATATTCCCTGAATAATGAAAATCATCATTCCTTATTCTGATATGACGAGTTGATAAATGATATGTCCATCATGGACAAAATGAACAATGTTGGCAGTTCTACAAATTTACTACACTGCATATTGAATCCATAATCTATTAACATGTTTCAAGGGGCAGTTATAATATCGACCGTTGTTTTATTTGTATGGTTGTGACATAGAACAAGGGAACATTCTAAAATCAGTGTTTCGTTACTCTATCAGGATTCATTATAGACTATCCAAAAAATTGGCTAGGATACTCAACTGCTCCTGTTGCGGTGAAATCGTTTCTGCAGTACTGGATGAGACATTGGTAGTATCACGACGTGAGTATTCTAAGTAAAGATTAATGGCTTCTTCAAGATTTCCAGTAGTAGCTTCTAGCATATTTTTGGCAATTTCTGGTGTAGCATCAGTAACAGCAATAAATTGCTGACAAAGGTAGCGCCATTCAGCACTATTTGGAACAGTCGCCATCTTCCTTGAAGGAACATTAACCTCCAATAAAGCGAAGAGTAAGGCCGCTAACTTTAAGTGTGCGCATGTGTGATTTAAAAATGCCAGAGGGGAACGAGAAGCCATTCACCGGCTACTGTACTCATTACTGTAGGCACATGATCGTGACATGACTTTGACCGGGAATGGAAGGGTTTTGACTTAGCATTCTGATTCACTGACGAAAGAAAGTGATTTCTTAGGCAAACGATTGACCCATTCTTACAACTTGGTATTGCTAAGCAAAACTAATGTCACTACTACATGCTACAATTAGGCACAGTACGGCTTCTACCAATGCTGCATACATCATGCATAATTTAGCCCGCTGCCATCCATCATAAAATGGCTAATCCACATGCTGATTAGCTAACAAGACTGTATTATGCCTCGAATAATTCCAACGAGTCCAAATCTATCTGTTCCTTTCTACTTTCTAGATAGATCTCGCCATCGATGATGATGGATACCGTAGTATTATGATCACTACAATTGATTTTGTCTCTGTGTTGTCAAGTCAGAAAGTCAAAGGAACTTTTATTACAGTTTCAAGTCTTTCCTCAGCTTTTGCAAAACTATTTGTCAGGTTAATACATGCTACAATTAGGCATAGTACGGCTTCTACCAATGCTGCATGCATCATGCATAATTTAGCCCGCTGCCATCCATCATAAAATGGCTAATCTACATGCTGATTAGCTAACAAGACTGTATTATGCCTCGAATAATTCCAACGAGTTCAAATCTATCTGTTCCTTTCTACTTTCTAGATAGACCTCGCCATCGATGATGATGGACACCGCAGTATTATGATCTCTACAATTGATTTTGTCTCTGTGTTGTCAAGTCAGAAAGTCAAAGGAACTTTTATTACAGTTTCAAGTCTTTCCTCAGCTTTTGCAAAACTATTTGTCAGGTTAATACATGCTACAATTAGGCACAGTACGGCTTCTACCAATGCTGCATACATCATGCATAATTTAGCCCGCTGCCATCCATCATAAAATGGCTAATCTACATGCTGATTAGCTAACAAGACTGTATTATGCCTCGAATAATTCCAACGAGTTCAAATCTATCTGTTCCTTTCTACTTTCTAGATAGACCTCGCCATCGATGATGATGGACACCGCAGTATTATGATCTCTACAATTGATTTTGTCTCTGTGTTGTCAAGTCAGAAAGTCAAAGGAACTTTTATTACAGTTTCAAGTCTTTCCTCAGCTTTTGCAAAACTATTTGTCAGGTTAATACATGCTACAATTAGGCATAGTACGGCTTCTACCAATGCTGCATGCATCATGCATAATTTAGCCCACTGCCATCATAAAAACCCATATGCTGATTAGCTAACGAGACTGCATTATGATACTTGCTACAATTAGGCACAGTACGGCTTCTACCAATGCTGCATCCATCATACACAATTTAGCCTACTGCCATCCATCATAAAATGGCTAATCTACACGCTGATTAGCTAGCAAGACTGTATTATGCCTCGAATAATTCCAACGAGTTCAAATCTATCTGTTCCTTTCTACTTTCTAGATAGACCTCGCCATCGATGATGATGGACACCGTAGTATTATGATCACTACAATTGATTTTGTCTCTGTGTTGTCAACTCATCAAGTCAAAGGAACTTTTACTGCAGTTTCAAGTCTTTCCTCAGCTTCTGCAAAACTATTTGTCGTGTTAAAGGGAGTATAGTCGCAATATTGAGCCAAGTTACTGCAAACCAACTAGAATATATACTATATTGTACACAGTATAAGTAGACTGACATACTCATAGTATAGTATAGTAGGATAAGTCTTGACAAAGCTACGCTGTGTCGCTAACAGGACATCTGTTCCTAACTAACGTAGTATACGGCAGTGTAATTAAGAGGTATCAAAATAGTGCTGCTGTATTTAGTAATTCAAAGCAAACAAGGAATCTGCAGGCCCAGCCATCACACCAGTTGCGGCTTGTTGGCCCACCACATTAATGTATTGTAAACAGCCAAGCATACGAGTAAATTAAATGCAACATCATCCTTAAGCCTGTCAAATACTTTTAAAAGACAGTATGCAAGTTGAAAGGTATCATCCATCATCGGCAAAAGCTGATAATTCAATCTTGTCCGTTGATATCAGCCAAGGTGGCACTGTTGCATGTGGGATCGATCATGGAGTCGTCGATGTGCTGGAGCTATCCAACAAACAAACAATTCGAACCTTGCCTCCTCCTAATTGGGTAGAAGATCAATCAGATTATGGATGCAATAGCGTTATTTTTGCCAATGGAAGCCAGCATGTCTTATATTGCAATGATGACCGACGAATCTTCAAGTATGACTTACGTCAACAGAATCCTTTATGCAGCTCTTTCGATTACAATAAAGAGGAAATTAATCAAATCGCTGTAAATTGCACGGAATCTCATTTAGCTGCTTGTGACGATGCTGGATTTATTGTCGTTATCGATTTACGAAATGGAGCTGTTTATATGGATAAATGCTGCCATGATAGCATTTGTTCGTGCGTTCAATTCTTACCAAATCAGCCCTTCAAGTTGATCTCGGCTGGTATGGATTGTAAATTGAATTACTACGACATCGATAGTGAAGAAAATCCTACGGTTTTGCAAACGATCAACATTAACGATATAAGTCCATCGGAATCAAATCATGCGACGATGGTCAATCCACCATTTATTCATCATCTTGACGTCGCATGGAATTCTAATCGAATTGCATGTGCAACTAATGATAGTAACATTTATGTATTTGAAACTGATTATGAGGAAGATGAATTAGTTCACACGCAATGTTTAAGTGGCCATTCGCTATGTGCTAATCAATCTCACTTTACCAGGTGGCAATCTACAAACTACCTTGTAAGCGCAGGCAATGACGGTAAACTTATGCTTTGGGATTTACTAAGTGATGGTAGCGATGAAAATGAAGATGAAGAATGTGAATATCCTGCTCCTGTGGTGATTGATCATAAGTGTAAAGTCAATTGGATAGCTTCATCTGATGCACCATCTCAAATAATCATGGTGTCTGATTTATCGCCGTCAATTACACTATATTCAAACATAGGTTGTCCATCGTAAAGAGCTAATATATAGCACCACTGACTGATTTCATCAAACAATTTCAATCATTCCATTTCAGAGTTGAAAAGACCGTAGTATTTCTGTCAGCGAAGCGACAGGACGTTAAGCTAGTACTAATAAAGCCAATTATAGTATCATATAATCAATCAATTGAAAGGATAAAAATAGAATTTAAATTCCATTCGCGAATTATAGAAACGTTCTTTGACAATATCAATGATGATAAAATATTTTAGCCCTTCAGATTAATAAATGTATTCAAACGGACAATTAGTTTCCAGTAGACGTAGTACAATTCGATAATTGTACCGCAATTGACAGATAGTTGAATATACGTTTATTCGTAATATACATATTTAGAAACACGATATATCGATTAACATTATTCAATAAATCAGCTATATAGTGAGGCGTAAAGTATCTGATGGTAGTACACTTTAAATGGCGTAAATAATTTGATGCGATATTTGTGGTATTTACCAACCAAGTATATTGAAATGACATGGCAATACAAATACGCTCTTTAGAACCTAAAATTTTGAACTTCAAGCAATCTTTGACGTTGCAATGGTTATGTACATGTTCGATATTAAAATTTACAATCTATCTGTGGATTGAACCAATCCTAGTTGGTAGTATACTAGCTGATAGTGCTGAAACTTCCCAATATAGGCTTCTTGACATAATCAATCGATACATCAGAAAGGAAGCACAAAATTGCAACAGTAACGTTCCATCAGCAAGCAGCTGTAAAAATAAAGTTGTTACAGTCGTAACTTAGTCAGTAAAAGGGTTTAAAGGGTATAAACAGCTTAAATTATGTCATATATCGGAATCTCATAAGCAATTGCATAAATGGGCATGCATTCTACAGCAGATACTTACGGCTATTCCAAAGTACTGTCGGCAAAAGAAGCTTGCCAAGCACGAGAATACAACAGGTGCAAGAAGCCACAATATGCAACACTGAAAAATAATCCAAAACAAATAAGAAATGCTAAAGCAAACTAGATCTAAAAAATTTAAAACAGCGTAGAAGGAATTAAACAAGCACTATCGAGTAATACGATTGTTATAAATTAGATATCATGCGATAAATTATAAATAAAATTAAAAGATATATTATAGTCATAATTACTATGGAGACATCAATGGTGATTTAATACGAAAGAAAACTAACCATAGAAAATCTAACATAGAATTCCCTTTTCAGAGCTCCACGCGCTTCTGATATCATTTCGCTCAATTTATAGCAGATAATACCAAAAGCCACAAGTCTGAATAAGATTAAAGGCTGCGTCCCAAGACTAAAATAGCATATCAGGGAGCGATGAAGTTCATCATAAAACAACTTATACCAGATTACTATCTCCTACAAAATAGTCCGAATTAAAAAGATCGATTAAAATTATCGATAATACAATGATCAGCAGATCTGCTATTGCAAAAGAAATAACCTCTGCAAAAACCGACGATATGGCAATAGTTAAAGCCCAATTTTCACGGCTTGGTTTAAGGAATGTATTTCCACGTAGTAACGCAAACGACGTTCCACAAAGCATTCGAAACATATAGAAACGCGATGCCAAAGCGAAACCTGTCGTTTAAATAACCAATGTTTATTAGACCATTGATACCAGTACTGACTGTATCATGTGATATTCTTAATAGGCTTAAACAATTAACAGGAAATCGACTCGATAGGTAAACGAGATAGCATAAATTGTACTCACAATTGGATAAGAACAACATTATTGGCATACCCATGCCATTTGAAGAGTATCTGTAATAAAAGTCCAGATTTTTACGAATGTTATTTAATTTTCAAAATTGGTATTTAACTTTGAGTAATTTATTATAGCACGGTTATACATACTGCAGAAGGTGAAAGGTAGCAAGGATTAAGCTGAGAAATAGAAATACTTCTGCAAATGCTAGCTGTACCATAGCCTATTAGAACATATCCGAATTGATTATTTAACTTGGATATAATAAAGTAATTGAATAAAAATAGTTCAATATTGAACTCATTTATAACCCAAATAATACCTGATGCATCGGTCCAGCCTTGCTAATAACTTGTACGACTGAATTTGCCATAAGACACATTACGAAAAAGTGCACGAACGTAAAACGTTGATAAAATAGGAGAATACCTAATAGCAATTATATAAGGTACTAATCAATCATTCAAAGAGATAGTATTACCATACTGGAGGTAGCAAATGAGCCCTGTTTGATGAAATTATTATTAAATCTCAATTTAATTAAAGATACTCTGCTTATTTTATAAGTGAAGGATTTTAAGTTATTACCTTCTTCTTCAGCGCTGAAATGAGTTATTGTGTTGTTATCAATAGCTTCGTTTTGAAGAGTTAGTACATAATTTATTTGATGAGTGATTGATTCCGCTGGCGTGGACATGCTATTGCACGTTGCACGATTTGCATAGACAAGATACCAACATGAATACTGTTCGTCATTCAGAGTAGCGGAGGTAATGACAGATTGAGACAAGGAATTCTCTATAATATCCACTAAAAAGTAGCGTCTAGTTACAATGAATCACTGACGTAATTAATAAATCATCCATTTCATATAACAAAGGCATAAAACATGGGTTTTGAGATAGTTGCATTGTAAATTAGAACAGTGATCTTCCATTTACGCTTATGTAGTCCATAAGAATATAACAACAATCTGTACATCCTATTTTTTTAACTGTTATCCTAGCAATTATTAATACACGAGTATATGCGTATAACACTGCTATATTATGAATAATACTAGAGAAGTACTGTTATATGAATAGATTATGCAACTAGAGCTATAGAGGGTGAATCCATCTGAGTTTATTACCCTATAACTACAATTATTACTAATTATGAGTCCAATCATATACTGGACACTATTTAAATATACATTTACGTTTATGCTTCAAATAAATACGAATATTGTTCTCAAAGCAAGGTTTATAGTATGTAAAGAGAAGTAGATGTGTTATTAGTTATAAATATCATCCAGATTCTGCAAGAGATATCGAATAAAGCCGAATTAAATGTTATAAATTTCTTTTGCACAAAGATGCCCGTCATAACGAAAATATTTTTCCTATTTCTATCATCAAGGAGTGGATGCATATAAAGTATACTTGGCGAACGGTGCAGTCGATTATCCTATAAATGACTTTAACTGCTACATTGTTCAACTGGTATCGTAATTCATACCAGTTGTGAGAAAAATATTCTTTTATATGGCGATGATAAATACACTGTATTACTAGTAATAAGGTAAACAATCACTTTTGGAAATCCAATATCTCAGCAATAAACCAGTTGTACTCTTAAATATTGGCATATACACTTTGAAATACTATATCGAAATAAAATATAGTCATAAATTGATTAAACATATAATTTGCGATAATCTAGGATCATCTATTAGATATTGCACGAAATTACGGCGCACTGTATAGGCCTCTTACCATAAAGATGAGCAGTCCGCAAGATATTTTGACACGATTTCTCTTGTTCCGATTTATCATTATAATGGATGCCGGCTTGCAACTTTTTCCAATTATCAATAGTAAGTAAATAAATTTTGCATTGGCTACAAACTACTTTGCGAGTAAAATTTAATTGGATTGTCATCATCGATCCTAAGAAAGAATAAATTAGAAACGATTTGAAAAAGGTGGAGTACAGAGAATATTTATGGATTTGCAATCCTAGTACGATATCTCCAGTATGGAAACATAAAGTGATAAGAAAATCAATTTGGTATATCCGTTTATGTATTGTAGGCAGTATTTTAAAATGAATATGATGACTACGCAATGTGAAATTGTTATATCTACTGCTCGCATCTATTTCATTACTGTTGTATGAATAGCAGTAAGCTAGTTATTCTAAACATCCAACACAATCAGTATTAGTGATGATCAAGCAAGTACAGCGCATCAAAGAGTCGAGTGTCATTGTTAGCATTTGGCGATAGTATCCAAGGAGTACCAGCGGTATTTAGTTGGCATATGCATAGTGAGAGAGCTCGTGCAATGCCAAATACTCGTATGCCTTAATTTTGCTGCATTTTATTGTCTAAAATATTATTGATGTTCAAGACTAGTTTCGATCAATCTGTCGTATGCGTAGGATCTGTAGTACCATGGACTTTTAGAGCTACCGTACAGGTCCATGGTAGTGCGTAGAGTACGTTAAAAAATAGCATCATAGTGAATTAGTGACCATACTCGTTTGTTCGCGTATCCCATCGAACTCCAACAAAGATCTTAGCTACAGAATATGAGTTGGCATAACTATTCCATCGTGTAAGCGTAGAAGTGAAATTGCTCTACTGACTGAATAAACTTGATGATTGAGGATATGCACTTCATCTATCTATCATTCGTTGAAAATGAATTCATTATACACGTACTGTTTAGTCATGATTTATCATTGATTGAAGCTGAACATGCACACTATACGGTCTTGTCAGAATCAATGAAATAGGAGCTATTTATGAGGATTTTCTATTTTTTTTTGGGGGGGGGTTATGTTTCCGCCATCCATTGCTGGATGATTGGTGGGCAACTGTATTCAAAGCTGTAAGCATATCCGATAAGTTGCCAACGTTACGGTTTAATCGTACTAACTGTAGCACAGTTACTGTATAGAGAGGCGAGAGGCAGAACGATTTAAACAAAGTCAAGTGATGACGTTGTACAAATGCAAAAGTAAATTACTTTAGCTATGCATCACTATCGTATCAGATTGCAAGATGAGCATTTGTACTCTGTCAACAGTTAGTTGCCTGATCGACTGACAGGAATCATCATTAGTAGCATTCTTGAACGCTATATATCATCATCGTAAGTTACTCATGGATGGAAAAAAATCGCATACAAAGCTACACCTGTTAACAAGACTGCTCGCTACTGTACCACAAAAAAATGCCTTACCCAGCTTGCCGCAGAAAAAGGTCAAATCTTTCGGATAGGGAAATTTAGAATCGTCAACAGGAATTACCCCATGGATTACTTTACTATTAGAAATATGAACTAAAGCAACTACAAATATAATTAAAGTTGGAATACAGAAGCGGATTTCATGCTGCATTATCTCATTCTATCATTATTATCTCTTGCTCATCAAGTCGATTCAATAGACATTGTTTCAATCTTGCTATGGTAGCACAATAATGTTGAATGAAAAGAAGACGTTGACTTAGTCCTACATACAGTATTATACCTCAAAATTGAGACTCGTGACTATTAATCTACCGATCTACTATCCAGATACTGTCTTGCTTCTGGTAGTCGTTGATTTTTACTGTATGTCTACGCTGGATATAGAACACTAAGTAGGAGAGAGGAAATTGGACACGTCGTCAAAAGCGTTCAAATCCGGTATCGTCCCGTCCCAATCCCATACTGAGTATGCGGTAAGTCGTCGAGTCCTAGACTATTAGCCGAAGATCTCGACTCATCACTCCTTGGACGGACAGACACTGTTGGCCGAATGTGGTTAAAATATTGTGCCAAACACCTGGTTATAACAGTACAGTACTTTAGTATGGAGATGATCGATTTTAAACGGACTGATTTTTTCTAAATGAAGTAATATTACATTGAATGTTATTATCTGCTACTCAGTTCTGCTTGGAAACAGTTTTATAAGATCGTCGATGTGATTAAAATTAGTACCAGTGATTTAGCAAACAGGCACGGAAGCTCCATACTAAGTAACCATTATTGGATATTGACGGCCTCCTTTGGTAAGAAAAGTCCGTCTGTCGGAGGGAGTGATCAGTCTACAGTACTGTCCAGGTTTTCTTTTAGTACTGTAGCTCATGCATGCAAGATACTGTACACTGTAGAGTCCAGTCTGTTATACTGTATGTATAGTACAGTACTGTACTTGAATAACTCCTTCTTCTAGTATACTGTAGTACTGTAGTTCGAGGTAGTCCAGTGAGGTAAAAGTGATTTCAACATCAGTCCTACGCTATGCCAATCTCTCTTGTTACACGGATACGCGGTAGAAGTTGGCTTTGCAAGATCCAACAGTATCAGCTACTCAGTAAGTATTCATGATAGTCTATTAATAACATAATATCATCTCAATAAGGATAATGTACGCTAATGATTAGCTCCATAACTTGAAAACGACATGCCTTCTGCTTATTGCAGTTACTACTTCGCACCCAACGGAAATTCTCAGTTTTCAGTAACTACAATACTTTTTACGGTAGTTTACGATACAAACTACTATACCGTACCGTACAATATCCCCAAATACCCAATTAATTAAGGGACCTTATTACTGTAGTGTACACTAAGGTCAGTATTAGTAGTCAATATTGATCAGCATTAGCGTCTTTCTTGTTTTACTCGATTGACAAGTTTGCCATTTCGACTTCAGCCTTAGCATTTCGGACCATTAGGACAAGAAGTATGAAATTAGAAGGTCAGGAACGAATCGATTCCTTGAAGCCACTCCAGAGTACTGGTTGGACAGAGGTTGAAGGAAGAGATGCCATCTATAAAGAATTTTTGTTTAAAAATTTCAATCAGGCTTTTGGATTTATGAGCAGAGTAGCTTTACAAGCTGAAAAAATGGATCACCATCCAGAATGGTTTAATGTTTATAACAAGGTCCAAATTACACTGAGTACACACGATTGTGGTGGTCTGTCCGAAAAAGACGTCAAATTAGCTGATTTTATCGAGAAGGTTGCATCATTTTCTTAAAATGGGGGCAAGCAAGGCTTTAGGTTCATGTAGTCTTTTGTGTTATGTAGCATGCATGACGTACCTTGGATATCTAGCCCACTACTTTGCACAGGTTTTCTCTGTACAGTAATCTACTTGTACGCTGCACGTAGAACCAGGGGATAATAATATAACTGAACTTTCTTCGTTGGAAGATTTGTGACTACTGTAGTAGAACTGTTAAAAACTAAAGAAAGTTGACATGTGATGTATTTGTGATAAAAATGTAATGAGAATCAAATGTAATTGAGGAATGACATGAAGGTATTGTCAATAAATTAAAAAATTGAAAACGTTTAATATATATTGCTGAAACGGAGTTTGCCTATTTCAAAATAAAGTGCTAGCAATCGTTGAATCATGCACTACTGTATTACTGTAAATCAGTGCACTTCAATGAAGCCATGGATCATTTTGACAGTTTAATAACTGATTGTAGAACAACAGTGCGAAACACGAACTATGGACAGTAAACATATTTACTACACTCTACAATAATGGTACATACTGTACAGTATGAAATATGATATAATATTAAGTAAATATGTTCTATTTTGTATTCAAAATATCTAAAAAGAATAGAACATGAAGGCTTGGATTGATTGCTCTTGGACGGACAGATATTTTAGGTCTCATCTTGCCAAAATATTTTGCCAACACTACGTTATGGTAGTACCTTAGTATGCAGACGGTCGGAATTGACTGATATCTTCTAAATTAAGAACAGTAATAATATTCCATTGAATCTTGTCTGTTACCAATTGGGATCAAGAGCAATATCCCGACTCCTACAGTTATACAGTATATTGAATTTAAGTCAAGATTGCAACAAAGTAGTAAGCAATGTGCCATTGCGATATATCTGTTACGGTTATTGATGTCTACAGTACTCTATGACTACAGTACAGTAGGTAAAAAAAAAGTGACTACTTAGCTTATACTGTACAGTACAACCAATTTTCATTGATTTTCCAATACGATGACGAAGCAGTACGAAAATAATATTAAAGTCTCTAAAAATTGTAGGAGTCCGATATTACTATTGATTGGAAAAGAGTTATAGCATAGAAGATCGTAGGCGCTATTTAAATTATTGCCAGCGATTTAGAACACAGACATGAAAGATCTTTTCCTTCTGTAAGAGGACAGTCGTCATTTTTCGATATTTGCGGACTCATTTGGTCAGAAAAGTCCGTCCGTCTCATTGAGTGCAATCGCTATACAAACGCTCTATTGTCACAGCAATTCTTAACGCGAATCCCGAGTCTGATAATACTGTTGATTGGAAAAGAGTTACAGTATAGAAGATCGTAGGCGCTATTTAAATTATTGCCAGCGATTTAAAACACAGACATGAAAGATCTTTTCCTTCTGTAAAAGGACAGTCGTCATTTTTCGATATTTGCGGACTCATTTGGTCAGAAAAGTCCGTCCGTCTCATTGAGTGCAATCGCTATACTGTACAGTGTACAGTACAAACGCTCTATCGCCACAGCAATTGTTAACGCGAATGCCAGGTTTCAATCGGGTTTCGGGTTGACTTTAGTAGAGTACAGTACTTTGCACTGTCCACGGAGTGCACAGTGTAATGTACTGTACTGTACAGGATTTCTAAACTTCGAGAAATTCTCTTTTTGCGTTGTAAACCTGCATGACATCAGTCAATAGAGTAGCCAATCAGAACCTGCTTTGACATGCGCGTGACGTACCAACTTGATGACATCAGTCGATCAGGCAGTTGTTTACCCCATTACAGTATTACTGGACTGTACTGTATACTGTACAGTAGTCCAGTCCAATACAGTACAGTACAGTGTATCGTGCAAGTGTACGGTACAGTATAGCGAGGCTACAGTGCACTGTACTGTACTGTACACTATCGTAGTTTTGTACTGTACGGTACTGTACCATTAATACAGCGTATTGTTTACTCCATCTTGAACAAACGTATAAAATGAGTGGATGGACTTCTACGGTACTAATCATTCTTTTGAAAGCATTCGGTTCGATTAAAGAGTATCAATCGTTTTGCGATTCATTTTGACTGAAGGTTTTTCATCATTTCTCTGAACTCCCATTGCTATTAAAAGTACAGAATGGCGTCCAATGCAAGGCAAAATTATCACGAAGATTGTGAAGCTGGTGTAAACAAGCAAATTAACTTGGAATTATACGCAAGTTATGTCTATCTCTCCATGGTAGGTAACACAAATTAAATGAAGAAACAGACTGATTTGCTTTAGGTCTTTTCCGATCGGTCGATGGAGTGCGCGCCGTGTTAGACTATCCATGCGTTTTTCACTGCCCTACTTGGCTGCTATGTAGATTGATACTGCCTACACTGTAGTTCAATGTTACATCTGTTTATTCGTTATGCTCTACTGAATATCAGAAGCTTATTTAGTATAATCATGTTATCAAGAAAACCCAGGCTGGACATCCTACTATTCAAGGGCCAAAAAAATATTTTGTTTCAATGCCGGCACTGTTCTAACGAGTCCAGTTATAATAGCAGTCGTATATCCATGTTGATCCCAGTAATTAAGTACTACATTATTCTAACCGTAAGTAAAAGAGAATATCTGACTTGAAAATCTTGCCAACATAATACAGTGTGTAGAAAAACTAATGGGACCCCGGAAAATACCGGTTTAGTACTAAAATTTCGCGCATTGCACAGTATATATGGAATGCGCTCATTTTATACAGGTACAGTATCCAAAAAACGAACCCAACACAAACTCAATTTTAATTCAGTCCTCTATGTTGAATGCTGAAGCGAACTGACTTAACTTTTCTATGCAGCAGAAGCGAAATGAAATCCTCCAATCTCTCAGTAGAATTCATATTTTAGTCAGCCTTAGATGCATACTACGCTTGTACAAGAGGAGGTACCGCTGTTTTCTGCCTGGCACCCTTCGTCCCAATACACTATTCCCTACTGTGCTGCCAACCGGCCACCGTGTACTACTTTACACTATAGTACAGCAGTCTTGAAGGTGACTCAGCGAATACACTAGCCCGGTATGATGAAATACCCCACGCCTTGTTTCCATCCTTTACAGTACTTTACTATATCAATATGAAAACTGCATCAACATGAATATCCCACATAAAGTTAGCGATAACTACTATTCAAGCTGTATTAGATGGCTTTAGAATCTGGATGTAGAGTCTAAAATCACTTTTTTCCTATCCAGACTTGCGATAAATTTTCTTCCTTTCTTTGATGATCGACACACTCGTTGGAGATGCCTTCTCTATACAGTACAGTACAGTACTGTAGATAATATATAATTCACTTCTAGTATAGAATAGAATTATTATATCCTGAGCGTAAACAATTTGGGAAAAAGATTTTTATGCTAACGGCTTTTACGGTATACTCACATGTTTTCAGGCGTACTACTTCGACCGTGACGATGTGAGCCTGCCCAACTTTCACAAATACTTCAAGAAAGCCTCGTATGAGGAGAGAGAACATGCCGAGAAATTGCTTGAACTACAAAATACCCGTGGTGGACGTATAGTCTTGCAAGATATCAAGAGACCTGAACGTGACGAATGGGGTTCATGCTCGGATGCCATGTCTGCTGCTCTCGCCTTAGAGAAATACGTCAACCAGGCTTTACTTGATTTACATAGTGTTGCTGAGCGCCATAATGATTCACAGGTAAATGACCTCATACTATTGTAATAACAGTGATGATATCATCACAGATATTGTGTCAATTCTAGTACTGACCATCAAACTTGTAAAAATTGATTACTAACGTTCTCATTCGTAACATTGGTTGATTGTCACAAAATCAAGTACTGTACTCTACAATAGCACGAGCATATCGTTATGATTGTATGCGTTATGCTGTGTGGTTATTTATTTACTTGGCCAATCTGTTGGTTCACCTAGTGACATCATGAAATGTATGAACCTGTAAATAATCAACATTGAATATCAACGTAGATATACAGTATATCATTACCCTTGCACGGATGGAACTCTCTAATTCATTCTCCTAATGCAATGTCGTTGCGCTCAGTCTGTATGTGAAAGACAAGTATAATATCATATAGGATCATGTAAACATTGACGTCGACTAAGAAGACCAATATCATTCGTGTGCTGATGTAAATATTGTACACGAAATGTGCAATTGTCGTGCAGTCCAGTAAGAAAGTACAGTATACTGAATACAGTCAATAAATCTTTCTTAGTGATACACCTACATGTATAACGCTAGATCCTTTAGTACGATCGCGTATGGACTAAACAGTTTCATTTAATCTATACGCGTAATTTAATACCGTTAATGACTACAACACAAGATTTTAGCTACAAGTCACTAGAACAAACTACGATTACTGAATAATATTGATGCCTTGTTGTTTTCCGTTGAATTTAGGCTTAAATGTTACTATTTACTACTGTATATTACTTAATGTCCCTTACCGTTAACTGTAAATTTATTTTATCCGCTCAAAAGTAGCTTATATGTAGTAATCCTATTGACTTGTACTAGTGCTATGTGGGCTAATTCTTAGCCCATACTATCTTCGTAACCTACTCTTGCCAAATGCTACGAATAGTGTCGTCTTTAGTACAATCTATTTGCTTTATTTATACTGCACCGTTACTGATATCGACATGAACTTTTTATCTCCATCTAGTTATGTGACTTTTTGGAAGGAAACTATCTACAAGAACAAGTCACAGCCATCAAGGAAATAGCTGATTATGTTGCACAGCTTAAACGTGTCGGGCAAGGTCTTGGTGAATACCAGTTCGACAGGTTAACATTAGGGTCACAATAATATAATATAAGCAGCAAATTACTGTAATTATGTTCCGCAGTAGTTGAATAAGCTGTAATCGTGCACCTTATAAAGACGGAATTTAACTCATAAATTTCTATACACAAATACTTTAGTACTGGGAATTGGTTTCAATTACCAGTACTTAATCATGCTAATTTGTATTGAAGTTATATTTAGTAACTAAAAACGAATAGGAAAATTGCCGTCTTGTTATATGTCTTATATTGGATAAGAATAAAGTAAATACATAATCTCTTCATGAGTTATTTCTGCTTTATGATTGTATAATAAGAGTTATGCTTAGCATGAGTTGCACGATGTCCAGCCCTGCATGCTTAGTAGACGGATGTAAACGAGATCCTTAAGTCCTCATTCTTCATTTAATTGCAAGTCGACATAATGTCTTTCATAGAGATTTCGTTGAAAATAGGTACGAATTCTGTTTTACAAGACATTCCGCTCTATGGTATAATACTGTACCTGAAGGTATACCTGTTCAGGGAAATGATTCTTATGCAGTATTTAGTGAGAATTATGGTTGGTAAAAGTTGCCATACCGCGTTTACGCATTAATCTTTATCGGATAAGAATTACGAAATCGCTCTATTTTTTTTTTAATTTGAGATCTACAGTAAAACAGTGTCGACACCTTGTATTTATAACAACGAGATTTTGTGTAATGCGGGTAATTAACGATTACCAAAGTGGCGATAAGGATCAGATGCTTAGCAATATACGAACTGACCATTTGTAAATTTAGAACAAATTTTTCTATTATGAAGATAACTAATAAATCATTTATTAAGATAACATTGCGATGAGGATATGGAAAAATTGAATTAAACAGTTATGCCAAGTTAGATATTATTATCTGATCGATACGATCTACTCTGTCTTCAGATATAGTTATCAATAGTATGCATTATTAATTTCAATTTATATTGTGACAAGTGCCTGTAATAAAATGTAAATTCATTCGTGAAAATTTCATAAAGTTAGTTTAATTATCCGCATTGAAATACTCCTTAGAAATAACGTCATTGATTTACTCAACGAAACTAATACGATATGCTAAATAAATAACTATGGATGTACGCATATAGTAAATACGTAGCATAACGAAGCGTGATAGTATATGGATATGATATAGTTTTATAGAGAATTTTGTAAATATTGCACTATTATTTCTGGATATCATGGCATATAAACTTACATATAATTAGAATAAGTCAAAGATTGATAATAATTATAGTAAGAAGTAATTGCATAATATGTAAAATGAATCACTCATAGGTACAGATACCTAATCAATGAAAGAAGGTCTAGTCTTATAGATTAGTAGAAATGAGATTGTATAATTAAAATAACAAGAAGATAATACTTAATTTAGTTTCAGCAAAATAATTATAATAATGCAGTAATCCTAAATCTCTCATGATATTCATTAACATTTTCCAGGTATAGAACCTATCTTAGAATAATTTCAACGTGTAAGTGATGGTCAGCCGCATGAAATAATAATAATAGTAATAATAACAAATTCTTCTAGTAATTAATTATATGTATAATTAAGAAAAAATGAGAACTTCATCACATGCTAACATTTGGTCATACTCTAACATCATGATATAATCGTAATATAAATGCTAACATCCTTGATTGTAAAGGATTGGGTTGATTAAGATTCAGTATTTCGATATCATGAAACTTTAAAGAATATCATTTGAATCGAGTTATAGTAGAAATAAATTAACAATTGTTAGCATTTCATTTTTTTAATTAAGATCGAGCAAATTGCAATTTATAATATAATTAAGTCATGTCCAAAACTTTATCGAGAAATCCACATAAAACATGTTGATAAGGCATTTTCACAGAAGCGAACACATTGATGATCTTGCTTTGTTCTTTCCAGTAATTGTGCGACGACGATTATTTCTACTACCATGATTGTTAGGAGGATTTGCCTCTAGCGCTTTGGAATTCATAGTTAAACCATTTTCATCTTCAAGATTGACTTGAACACCAGCATCGCATTGCGTCGATGCTATACGTTCAAGATTTAATTTACGTGATGGTTGTGTATCATCATCATTGGTGTCTTCTTCGACAATTAGCCATTGCTGGGAACGAATTTGGCCACGATGATTATTTGAGGTATCATTAACAACGGTTTCAACTTCTTTTATTTCAACCTGATTACCGCTGAGAACAAAATAGGTTCTCATAATTCCTTTTCCCTTAATAGTGATATCTCCACGTAATTGAATCTTATAATCGGACTCCTTAACAAGCCTATTACGATAGATAAGGCAATCAGCAGGTTGTTACTATGAATTAAAATTATATTATCAATCATTTACTAGCTTAAAATTTCAGCTATTTACTATTGCTTATGAGTGCTGTAGTTGTAACATGTACAACAATTCAATACCATTAGCTCCTGTACGAAGAAATCGTTATCGATCATGGATGACTACTTTGTTAAGAATGTGCTAGGTAGATTATTAATTTCTAATTCATATATTAAGAGTATATCGAATAGATTTATATCTTGATCAAATCTAATTACCGCACGTTACAACTCTCACATCTAAAGTACACTGAATTATTTCTGTTTGAGTATATTTACCGTTTGTATCTATTGCATTAATACTTTTATAACGACTATGTCTTTTGGATAGCTGAAAGCTTATAGTAAATAACTACTATTTAAATAAATTTTATAATTTAGTAGATTTAACGTAACTATCTCTGGTGTTTGATATAGACTACAACACTTAATCAATGACTATTCTATCGTATTTTTTTACCTTGGTTTAAAACTCTCATATCATTGGTGTGAGTATTAATATATTTACTACGGTATCTACTTAGTAAATTTACTACATTTATATCTTACTGTGCATTGATTCTATCTAATAATTTTTATTACGACGGCCAGAAACTCACACATTAAGGCGATTGCTTATCATATTTTATATCAGTGGCTTATAATTCACGTGTCAAGGCATTCTGATTTATTTTCGTATATATATTAAAAAATTGATCGCATCTCTTCTAATTATCCTATTCAATTATTATTTTAATACGAAAGCGAAAGATTCACATATCAAGGATATTTTAATTTAATTTATAATAGACACGATCAATTTTCCAAGATAAATACGATAATAAATCAGAATGCCTTGATATGTTTTAACAAAATTTTATAATTTATGGATGTCTTCTATTGGATTCTATCAATGATTACTTATTTCATCATAAGTAATTAACATTAAAAGATTAAAGATAAATTGAACTTGATATTTATATCCTAGCAACCATTTACGGCAAGAATCTCTTCTGTCAGATCTATCTAGTAATTGCATATTTCATTGCAATAAGTGAAACTCACTTACTCGTAAGTTGCACTGCTAATGTGAACCGTGCCAGGAACACCATGGCTTTCCATTCTACTGGCAGTATTAACAGTATCGCCAAAAAGACAATATCGTGGCATTTTATGACCAACAACGCCAGCTACAACTGGTCCTGAATGGATACCAATTCGAATCTATTGCAGAAAATTTAAATATTATTTACGTTTGATAACCCTTCAGCTTAGCTATAACAAGCTTTACGGTATTCATTAGATAATTGTCAGGAATAGCTTCATCGGATACAATGCAAGAATGAGATTATATACTCTTGACATGCAATTGACTGAATAATTTATCCTAATTAGACGCTGTGTCTAGATCAGACTAAAATATGGGTTTTCTTTAACTGTGCGCATTCTGCTTACAACCAGAAATCAGCGTCTTGCAAAGGAAGCTACGGCGGCGGATTTATAAATTTTCTTTCATTTTAAAAGAATTGCACTAAAACTTAAAATGATATAAAATTACCATGATGAAATTATAAAACTACCTGAATTTGTTTACCATCCGCCGGTGAACAAACATAAACAGATTTTTCAATCATGGCTAGACCCATGTCGATAGCATTTTGAGCGTGTGCATCAGTTACATCTGGAACACCACTGACAACCATATAGGCATCGCCAATAGTCTCTACCTACATAGAATTAAAAAATTTATTTCTATTATCGATTAGCTCCAGCTCTACTCCATTCTACTTCAAACTGATTCAAATTCAAACACTACACTATACTGGCTTTAATAAGTTTAATCTACTTGAAAGTTTAATTAATTTGTTTAAAATACTTGAAAGTTGTTCTATTCATATTTTTTATATTTAATTAATTCATTATAACCAATTCATTTCAATCATGGCGGCAATTAAAGAACAGTTTACAATTAATTTGGACTGTTACTTATTAGTTCAATACATTCAGTAATGATGTTGGCATGCTACAGGTTAGTTGAAGAAGATTAATAGCGTTGATATTTTAACCTACCTTATATACTTTGTAGTGGCTGGTCAATTGATCAAATCGTGTATAGAGATTGTTCAAGAATTCTACCACATCAATTGGTTTACATCGACTGCAGATACTGGTAAAACCGACGATATCACTAAATAAAACGGTTACAAATTCATATTCACCAGCTTCAACTTCGTGACCTTCTCGTAATTTTTCAGCTACCGTAGGGGGTAACATAGAATGAAGCAAGTTGTCGGTTTTAATTTTTTCTTTAGCTAAAGCTGTCGAAGTCTTTTCCAACATTGCAGTTGTTTCTTCTAATCTTTTATGGACATGAAATTCAGCCACACGTTGCTCATTGAGTAACATTAATTCACGTGAATGATCATGAATTGGGAAATCGCTAATATATAGACCTCGCTTTTCAAGATCAGCTAGACGATCGACAACAGGTGAGCAAATGAAAAGAAAGCGTTCGTGCTTTAATCGGATCATTTGGCCTTTCAAGTTTAGGTAATAATCAGTAATATCCGATCTCAGTTGTAAGGTAAAATTGTTGTTGATATATGTCATTATGTTCGATTTATTTAATCGAATGGGCGGAGTAGAACATTGGAATAGATCGGTTACTTTTGGCTTGATAACGCTGCTCAGTCGCCGTAATTTACGTGATAAACTAGTACCTGTTCTCAGAATTGTCATTTCATCATCGAAAATGATATGGAAAGGAAATGTATCGCAAAAAATTTCACCGGTTATAAATTCTTCTGAACTATCGTCATTTCGATCTAGAAATTGTGGGGAAAGTGAAAGATTTTCTTTCGATATTGAAGAAGGAATGCATTTGTTAGCTTCGACTAAACCAATCTCTCGAATTTCTAAGATAGCATAATTACGATATGTATCCCTGTCTTCATCAATGCCATCATAAATACATTCAATTTCCAATTTGAGATTAAAGATTACTTCAGCAGCTCGTTCAATAATGCCGGATGCCACGCCACGTAGTAGTTTACGATTGGAATGATAATGAAGGCGATAGATATTAGGATTATCAGTTCGCTCGCAATAGAATTCCGGTGGTATCATGTTGGAAAATGTCATACTTAAGTGAACATGTAAAGCATTCAAATTGTTAAGAAAGGCATACAGATTAGGGCCAATAATTCGCATCATAATAATGTAGTTACTGCGTTCCGTCCATTCAACCCAAAAGTTACCAAATGCATGAAAAACTTGATGGATGCTCATACCTAATATATGATGTGTGCACGCGTAAAATAAAGGTTTAAAATCGAATACTAAATTTTAAGTTGAATCAATGAATGCACTATCTACACTAGACTGCTAGAGTGAAATAATATCATTATATTTCATAAAGGATAATCAATAAATTGTAATCAATCCAGTCCATAGAAGGATTAGCTTTTACCTGTTTTATCCATAATAGCTCTAACCAAATCATAGGTGATCTTGTCGTCGTAGTTTTGCTTCATAATAAAAGTTTCGGGAATATCACCAGCTCGATTCCTAAATTTATGAAATGAATATCGATCTATTCAATATACGTAGATAATACTGGAATAATGCTTATACCTAAAACCTAAAAATTATTCTAGTGCCGAAATTATAATTATTTATTTCTATAGCCTGAAAAAATATGGCACTCAATAAATCGTACTGCGATGCAATGGCTTATGTTATAGCAATATCTAATATTATATACCGTTCATATGCTATAGTAGTAATATAATATAGGTTGATGTTTAATTAGGCTAGCTATTGAAAATAAGGAATAGTTAAATATAAATTCGTAAGAAATCAATGATTTAATTAGGTCTTCCAGAACTTATTAAATCAGATCTTTCAATTGTAAATTTAGGATTCTTTAGTAATATCGTTAACTAAATATAAGTTACACATAATTCGAGACGAATAATTCTATATCTAAAGTATGTTCCAATCACTAGATGCAAAATATTTCAAGAGTACAAAAAATTATGAGCATCATGGAAATTATAAGTACCCTTTGCTGCATTATTTTAATTTATAATAATACGATAAATCATACGAGATGAAGAACTTTAATCAATTCGCTATTCCTTTCGATTAATAAAGTATTTAATCGTACAGGCTTTTTATTAGTAATTATTATAAAACTGCTAGCTATTTTCAAGTATGGTCTAGATGATCGCGTAAATTTGAAAACTGTTAACAGTAATTGGAAGGCAGTAAGATATAGCATGAATTGCCCTTTTAAAAATTAACAAGATCATGCATGTGGGTTATAATTTCTTATAACGTTATTGCAAATGATAGTTCTGACGATTTGGCTGCCATCTACAGTATTTCTCTTGTCTTGTAAGGCAAGAGAGATATAACGGCAGGAATAGCAACCATGTTCCTGCTATTGCATTGGAAACTGATCATTTCTAATATTTGTTATCATGAAGAGTTTTTAAAATTTAATTATTAAATTAACAAATTCTATTCGTAGGTAATTGAAAGGACCTATGAACTAAAATTGAATAACGTATATACCGGACATTTTATGAGTCTCATGCATTCAGCGATACTATGGCATACGAGTATAAATGATTATCATCATGCTATTACCATATTTTGTTACGTAGTATATAGTTAAAATTATGGTAATATTGATAGTAAGTTTAAACTGTATTAGAGTTTAAATCGAAGGAAATTTGTAAATTCTACATTAGTTGGACATAATCGCCATTTCATTCCAGCGAATATCGATCTCTCTACGCCAGATAATTAAATCATTGGTGTTATTATACTGTATTCGGCAGTTAATTCAAATATTATTATATTGATTTGTTTTTACGCTGTAAGTTAATTAAAGTATAACTAGATTGAAATGGAATTTTCCAGATTCGTATGAATAAGCTATTTCTAGACTATGCTTTCTGTTTAATAAATAAAAATGAATATTTTGCAAAAGGCAAATAGATTCAAACGGTAACTCTCTTAATAATTTAAAATTGAACCGTAGATAGGCAATAATTTTCAGTTTTATGTGAAAATCGAATAGAAACGCCTATCATAAAAAATCTTTTACGGATAGCAAAGCCTAACTCCATTAAAATCAGCATCTCAAAGACCTCTATAGCAAGAGATAAATTGTGAAATAGCTCAAAGATTTATAAATGCCTTGGGTTCAGTTTGAATGATACGTTCTATCTATTTGACTCCTATTGGAAACAGATTTTAGCTAAAGATCAACAATAAAAATGTTTTACATCAAGTTGCAAACTCTTTTTCTTATCAATTTGGTTGCTATGATGATTAAGTATCCTATTTTAAGTGTAAGATGTCATATTTCATATTGAATAAGATTTACGTTCAATGAAAGTAAACACTATGTAACCATTTCAAGCCTGAATACGAGTATAGTCATTCAATGTATAAGAAATATAAAAAAATGGAGCGCAGTGGTTCATGTAATGATTATAATCTATGCAATTGTTATTCCCTATGCAAAGTGAAATATCTTATTATTTATAGCATATGCATACATACCTTAAATGAAAAGAATATTTACGTAAAATTTAAAATTAAATTTTACGAGTGTAAAAGATTTAGTTTCTATAGAGTTGCATTTATCTACAATAGTAGAATCTGATTTTTTCGCGATATTATAATTAGTTTACTAGGCAGTTAATGAAACTTTGATGGAAATTGGCGTTGTAAGTAAAGATTAATTGACAACGGAGAAGAGAGTGAATAAGTCTAATTGAGGATCAAACTTGCTTTTAATGACGTTAGCTGCTTTAATTTTTAAATTTTATTAAAGCACTATATAAACTATATACAGAGTACATTAGAACTAGCACTTACGACGGTATATTTTATAGCAATCTATAGATTAAGTAATCCAGTCAGTGGTCTATTTTAATTAAATTTAAAGTTTTCATTCAGGCAAGCGTTGTTGTTATGACTGCTTCAGCTAATTTGTTGACGCAATGTCTGTTATTATCACAATTATAAGCCTAGTTCTATCATTCAATCTTATCAGAAGTTGATGCTGAAATTAAACAGACATTTATAATGATGAATTTTGCAATATTATGTAAGTGTGATATATACCAATCACGAAATTCCAAATTTTAGAAAAATAAGGGCTTTATTGAATCTTATACAAAGATTAACTACACAGCTCTACTCTAGCCGAATACTACTTCTAAAGACTTCTACAACGAACTAACAGAATAATCTAAAGTTACATGCTTTTATACTTTCCGTAGCATTCGCAGCTACAATCCGCATGGCAACCTTTTACCTTATTTTACACATAGTTAACTTATTCTTAGTAAGACTATTCTACTGCAGACCATCATTAATCCAATATGGATACGACTACAGTACTTACGTAGACATTATTCACACCAGCCAAAGTACAATGAATTAACCATATCCTAATATATGATTTACAGTTCTATTTTTACCTATAGCCATATTAGTAACTCAACAGCTTACTGTATATAGTCATCTGTACTCTAGCATAGCGTCTCTACCACTACAGTCTATAGTTACAGCTACCAAATATCTCTTAGGATAAATATCTACCGTACATTATACTACACATGGCTAACAGTCTACAATCACAATACTAAGTTACATTACAGTAAGTAATGAATGCGAAATCCAATATAAAGTCTTTTGAACTGTAAGTCATGTTAGATGTGATCCTATAGAGGGTATAGTCTATAATTATTTTTAATATGAATATTTACTTTAATATTATTTTATAAATGAGTGTTTTTCTGCATACGCGTGAATAAAGTCGTTGTGATTCAGATTGATCAAATAAACTTTCTATAACCCTTTCAAGTTAAAGGGTAAATTTATGCTCGATTCTACTGTACGTGTTATATTTTCATTTCATTCAGAAAGTTATTTCAAGAGGTAGTTCCCGAAATCAGTCATTTTTTTTAAAGTATATTGGTATTGAGCATTACGAAAGTAATTATTGAATGCGGAATTAGAATGATTAACGAAAGTGGGATAAATAATATTCGGCCGACTTATGATAATAGATTTAATTGGGAATGGACATAATTTAACAAGAAATTATTTTTACTTATTTATCTCTTCCTATTTTAATTCGATAATTTCCATTTTTTTAATTAAAGGTGCAGATCTGGCAATGAATTGTTGTAGTCATATTAAGTCAAGCTGTTAGCCAGATCTATATTTGAAATCCAATTGATAGTTTCCTTGACCCCTTCTCAACTTTTGTTTACTAGTTATTGTCTGGGAGGTATGTTTTTGTGCTACATTAATTAGTAACTCCGACAGGGTTGTTATCTATTAATTTAAATACGATATGGTTAAACGCAGCATATTAATAATGTAATTACAATCAGGACAATATATCGGAAATATGAGATAATTTTTCTCCTTTAAGGTGATAAATTTCTCTGGAATGTATAAATTCGGCATAGTCGTACTTACAATAATTTGAAGGCAAACTAATATGAACAGATCTAGATTGTTTGATAAATCAGTAAGACTGAATACAGTATGAAAGCTATAGGGTTAATGCTTCTTCTTGTTAGTTATTTTAGTCCAATTGGGAATCTGTGAAAACAGTTGTCGTTGATTGAATTTTTAAGTTATTCATGAGTCGAGATGCACAGATTTTACAATTGAAGGGCAATATTAGCTTATACAGTATTAATAGATTGAAATTGAGGTTTTTCGTAGTATTTTCATGATAGCTTAGTGGTAGCTAGGGTTGAGTATTAATTAAACAAGTTAGAGTAGTTGCAACCTCTATTGTTTAATCATTCTAACCAAAGTGAATCTTTGAAAATTATTTGCTAAAGGCCTATTTTAAAATGAATATTTCGTAATGATTTCGAATAAAGAATCTCTCTAAATGGAATAGCAACATTTTTTATACAACTGGAATCTTAACAGTAAAAATTGTGCACTAATACTCATCTACAATCGAAATGGATGTATATACAATTGAGCATTTAGGTATCTCAATTATAACTAGATGATAACCCTTCTATTTCACGTATCGAAAACGGAGCTGCAATATAATACATAGGATATCTTTCTAGAAAGTATTTTAAAATAACATAACAGCACACTGTTCTTAGCAACGATGGACTGTGTATAAAAAGTCAGTATATTGAATCAATCGTTTATGTCTAATAAATTACAGAGAAATATTTTAGTAAGAGGACTGGTTTAAAATAAGCATATAATTATCCGTACTAAAGCTTATATCGTTTGACATGATACGGGCGCATGTGTTGAAGTGAAGATTTTTACTAATAATATTTATTGTAGAATACTAATTTTAGTTTCAACTTCTAATGGTAGAAATTTCTACAATGTTGTTGAAATATTGTATCATTATTCAAATTAAATTTATGTACAACGCCAGTATAGAACAAAATTTAGAATTTGGAGTTAACTTATCAAAGAATACTATATTTAATTATAGATAGTTTGCTGACTCTTAAATATTTTCTCTACTTCACCTATTAGAAAAAGAAACAGATAATGGATGATATTACCCAGCAACTAACTAAGTTTTCATTGTGACTCCTGCATTAAATATTAATAAGTAAAAATAGATTCTGTTAACTAGTTTTAAGATATAAACTTTGCCATATTGACGATATTACATCGTTATCGTCGAGAATGATCAATTAATTAATTATCTTTATCTTTCCGTGCGCAATTTCAATAATTGCTATTTCAAGTAGTAGAGAGGAAATTGTTGATTAATCATGATTTGTGTAGCTGTAGGAAATCTGACTCCAAAACAAAGTTTCAGAAAAGTTGTATCGATTACACAATTTGATCTGTTTTACCAACGGTTAATCAAGGAAAACTTTAATGTGCTGTACTTCTAGTACTGATCGATATAAAAAAATAGGTTAGCATGTGCAGGGGTTTTCATCTAATTAACAAGAATATTTGATTTCCAATATCATGAATTACTTTTATAATAATTTTTAAATAGGAATATTATTATAGTCCACGAAATAAATTCTTGCTGGAAATTACCGTTATTAACTAATAGTAATCAAATTTAGTGTAAGGTAGAAAGAACTTGTTGTTAATTCTACTTATTTTAACAGGAGTTATTTTTAACTGATTTCTACATATAGTAAAATGAAAGTACTTCCAATATCAAATCGCTTTCGATGCTTATAAAGTTTATGTATATTAAATTGTAAGGACTTTACTAATAAAATTTTTATGGGCCACTTTTAGGTATGAAAGTTATTTTTATACTTTTTCGCCGTCTCTATTTGTAAGGTTTGATATTGAGTCGTTTCATTTTTAATAACGAAGAATATTACTTACTGAAAGATATTACTTTACCGTATACATATGATTTTAGAGTATCATTCATCACCGAATACTCCACATTATTCATGATAATATTCGAAATGGCTGAAAAATTAAACTGCGTATTTTTACTGGTAGTATAGTTGATTAACATCATAATTAATAGAGAAAACGAAATAGCATAGTTACTAGCCTACTTATGTACTGACTTTTAATGGGTATGTTGTAATATGCAATAACTCAATCATCATATTCTAAAAGATAGAGAGCATTTAATTAGAATACTAGATTGTATTAGATATTTAATTAATTTCTTTTACAGTTTGTCTATTGAAATTTATAACAATCTATTCCTGATGCGAAACTAATATTTCATGAGTAAGAATTTCAATGATGATACGGATATTTTTTGTATATACTTGTTGTTTTTGTTGATTTGATCCAGTAATTATAATTAGCATATTTGAAATTCTTTTAATGGTGGTATTTAATTTTAAACATATTGAATAACTATTACTTGTATATCTTTCGTCTTTCTTGAATAAAGAGGAAACAAGTCTATTTGAACGTATAAATTCTATACTTTAACTATTCAGTGATTAATTTTTATCGATTTCATAATTTTAATGGATTAACGATTCATGGTCAATGAATATCGCATCTGATAATCGGATTAATATTGATATTGGGTAATTACTTTCAATCAAAGAAAGATATCGAGATTAAAAGAGGGCAAATGAACGAACATGGCTGAATCAGCTACTATGCTTAATTCTTAACTGTTTGTTTTGGAGCATACTTAATTTAAAAAATGATAGTATTCATTAGTGTCGATATGGATATGATAATATCGGTTTAGAAGATGTGATAGGGAAAGAGATTATCATGAAGCAAGCCGTCTTGTATCAGATTACTATTTTAATATCATTCAACATCGGTTGCATACTACGGGATAAGTGATAAATTAATTATGATATAGGACTCATTTTAAATTAAAATCAACCTATTTCATGATCTATAACAATACAGTAGATCATGAAAAATTTTATCTTTACTGAGTCGGTTTTTCGGAATACGTTGCCTCCCATGCTAACTACTAAGTATTGTACTTACTTTACATCATTCCAATATTCTTGACCAAATTTCTCTTCTACCAACAGCTGGATAATGTGATTTATTATTCCATACTAGACAATACAGTGAGGAAAATAATAGATTTATTAGTTCAAGCTAATTTAATGTTAACCAATAACTATATCAAAGATTTTAATAACTCATTTCTCTCGTATACTTCTTGATAAATGAGATAATCGAGATTATCCATAATCTATCTTAAGTAATTATCCACTATACTTTTACAGAATAAGCAATTTTATTACTAGATCATTTTTGAAAGCAAATTATCTCTATTCTTAAGTTTGCCACTTGTTATACATGAATTCATTTCATTTGGCCATAGAAATAGGCTAGAATTTGAATTTTTAACATATATATTTCCAACTCTAATACAAAAAAAGAGTATAGCAGCTGCCATTTTATATGACGTGTTTACAGCATCTATTAAAATTTTATTCCACTTAGGATTTTTTGGACTGTAAATATAAAATATAGCCTAATTAAAACGGAAAAAATATTAAACCAACTTGGTAAATACTTATTATTGAATGAAAATTTAAAACTTTAATGAGCTTTATTCTGGTAATGCTGATTCTATTTAATTTAACATTAAAATGTTCAGTTTATAATTGGTACATTATTTATCGTCAGTAGGAATCTTATGTAAAATAAACGAGTTTGATATGTATTTTAAATGCCTGTCTTTCAAAATAAAACGTAACTGTTATTATGGAAGGTAATTGTTAGCCGTAACGATAGCGTCTGATTTTTGGTATGCTCTCAGTCAACTGAAGCGAGATCGGCAACTAAGCTTCCACGTGAATATCTACCTTTATTCTGATTTCTTACCACCATATATACTGTACAATACAGTACCTATACTGATCTAGTACGAAACAGAACTAGTGCCGTTAAGCTCTGATAAGGTTGCAATACAACCGATATGAATACGATACAAAAAATCATATAATTAGATACAGAGACGCTAGTAAATCCGTAACAGTAATGCAAAAAAGTTTACATTTATCTAAATTTTAAACAAAGTATTTTAAAATGAGAATTAAAAAATGTAAAAGATTTCTAGGTATTTTTAAATATCAACTACAATTTGCGATCGTTGGTCTGATCATTGGTCCTGATAACTCATGTTATAAATATAGTCACTAGAGATTTTTAGATTCTACGTGATGCAGCAATTATACGTCTATCGCTTCGTTAGCTATAAATATTCTAGCTAAAATTATTTAATTCGCTGAGGCTAGAAATTGCTCTGATTTTAGGTCGATATTCTTTCATAAAAATTTTTATCTAGAAACTTTATATTGATGTCACTCATAGGAGTAATTTCACTGTCTACTATCTTCTAATGTGAGTGATCAACTAACTTACTAGCTACTTAGTCACTCCAACTAACTACGGAGAAATACTGTAAGTAAGACTAACAACTTCCTCACAAGTATAATAAGCGGCTTGTTGTAAGATTATGATGGTTGATTGGGATATTAAATGGTACAATTTAGACTAATTGATATATTATTATTAGAAAAATAGCGAGAAAGATTATAATAGATAAATAGTTGCTGTAGCCTAAGTTTGTGCATGATGTTTTATCCCGAAAGTTTTTCAAAACAGATCAGATAAGTTCAGAGTACGCCAAAAAAATTAATATCTTAGATAAAGTTAAAGTACACAATAGATAGAAATATGATGAAATTACGAGAAGATAGGAGTGAATTTCAAATTTGAACCTTGATTATAGTGTCTAGCGTATATATCAAATAAGTTTTAACATTATACAAAATCAATCTTAATACTGGTTTAATTTTGCAGTTAATCACAATGGAAAGATTAATTATTCTATCGCTGAATTTTTCAAGTTTAAAAACAGGACAACTTGATATGTTTATGACCGAGAATTCAATAGTTATGTTCAACTCTGATTGAATGATCAATTGATATACAATGTCACGGAATATTAACATCTTTACTTATTTTGAGTATAAATTGTATTTGAATTCATTGACTAAAAGAGGTGTTTAGGTCAAAAATTCGGATAGCTTCGATGATCTGTCGCTATCGGATAGGCTATAAGAATCATTTAGGTTAAATATCAGCACCAAATGAGTTGGATGTAGCAGCGTGTCGCTGACTACTTCCTGGCAAGTTTACTAGTCTAATGTAAAGCATTTACTTTGAGTAGCTTCTACAGATTACTACCCTAATCTACCGAAAGATCTAGTAAGAATATAGTACTGCTACTATAACGCCTAAGAACTACCGTTCTAAAATACTTACAACTATATGCTATAACACTAAAACACTGTCAGCAACAATACTTTCTTAAACTCTATAATCTGGGCAACATAATGCCGTAACACAACGCAATAGAAATCAGATTTGGATGAAATAAAAATAAAATATCGTTTTGACAATGAATTGGTGTTGAGTAGTTTTAGGCTGTAATCGAAAGCGATAGGCTACTATGGGGTGTCATTTTTTAACTACAGGACTTCGATTATTCCATGATCTTGATCAGCTTTAAATAAGTTTTGATTAATTGTTAGATGCTATACACTCAACGGATGATGATGGCATTATTCTATAAAAATTGTGAGTCATGATTGGGTAATTAATAGTCTATTGGTTAGGAAATACTTAAAACTAGACGAAATTGGATAGTCAATGTCATTGAAATTTTATTTGTAAATGTTCACTTTTAATTTCTATTACGCCTTTGGCAGATAGGAAGACTACTATTGAAATTGTTTGCAGTATGTACTGGCATAAGATATTGATTACTTTTGCTAGTTAATGAATTCAATAATAGTATTAGTTTTAGTAAGTTGATTAATGGCTTATAACGATCTGAAAGATTACCGTACATCTTACCAATAGTTAGAAAGATAAAGAATTAACTGAGTCACAACAATATTAGGACTTCAAATTAGTGGTTGTAGCGATTTCATTAAGACAGTTTACTAATTCTCTTTCTAATTACCATGTTTAAATTTGTCTTGAATGCTTATTCTGCCCTGATTTCGATATCTCCAAGATATGAACTGATAACTATGTTGCTGCTTGTAGTCAAGGTGCCGTCGCTTATTATGATGATTACAAACTTCTGAATTGCAGCTAATGGTTGTTAACAGTATTTACCTAAAAATCTTTAGCATTAAATTTGAAAGAAATTCATTTTGTTACCAATATATCAAATATTATCAATTCAATTTTTCAATAAGTAGGAATATATTGGCGATATTATAATATGTTTTCAACGCTATTAGTAAGTAGTCATGATGAGATAGATACTACATAACAGGTAGAGTCATTTAAGCTTACTCCAGATTGAAATGTCTTAGTCTTGGGTCTTTTTGTAGTTGTTTTTAGTGTGCCTTAAATAAAGAAAGATATGGAAAAGGGTTTAAATTACAAGGATGATTCAGCCAATATGACACGGTAGAAAGATTTATTATTCTATTTATTTCTAATTAATATAAGGCCGGTAAAAGTTGCTGACATTAATAATACGTTGGATTTTTGTTGAATAGTGCTTTATTCTAGCTTAGAATTATTAAATATTAAAGTTATTCTTCTTGTTTCTTTTCCCCTTCCCTTTAAGATTCGGATGGAGACGAAGTTATTGACAAAAAATAGTTTACTTTTTTAATATTTGTCACAAAACAGCTTTGCAACAAGATAACGTAATGTACGATCAATAAGTCAATTCCTTGAACCACGTATCAACGAACGATATCTGCACTATCAGAAACACTTTTGCTCTACTAGTAGACTACACAAAGACTTAAACGCCTCGTATTTTACGTTAAACACTAAGTTGGAGAATCCACTTTATTACACGATATACTGCATTTATATACTATTCCTCAATAGTTCATCAGTCATAGTTAGTACGATTAACTTTGGAATCATTTACTGAATTAGATGTTAATTATAGCTACTGCGCCCTTAATGCAGACAACAGTATTTACGAACATAGACATCTGATGACTAATACAGAATAGTCAGATTACGATATGTCCTATCACGGAACATTTCTACGATAATTTGCAATCTACCATAAGTAAGTTACAATCACAATAATTCGAAGTGTAAGTAGATGATTTGCATTCCCTATTATAACTATTAATTTCAGTATGTGTATATGTGTCACTGCCATAAAAAGTCAGTGCTATATTAAAACACAGTATATCCAAATTAGAAGTTAACTAAATAAGGATAGGCTAACAGAATTATCCTAACATTGATATTTCTACTCTAATACAGTATATAACACTGTCACAATATTTCAATTTGGAAGTTATGAGTCGTAGTTATTAGCAGCATTGTTCTCATCTAACTATAAATGATAGCAGTAAGTTATTAAAATCAATATCTATTACATGGATATCTCGATTTCTTCAAACAAAACAAAAATCTATCTCTATCGTTCATGGATTTAATTACAGTATAGTCGATATTATTTAATCTTTGATATAGCAATAAAATTATTACTCTTTCTCTTCCGCCATTGCAAACTACTTATGTTATTGAATAGGGCTACTTTTGGAGTACCTGCTATTTTTCTGTTTTCTTTCTTGTTATTTCTTTTCTCGGCTAGTAGTGATACTGACTTCAAGGTGGCTGATATGATGAAATCAATTACCAACAATCATCCAATATGATGAACAACTTTCTATCCTTCTTCAACTTAAAACAGTTTTATTGTTTGTACCTGTTAAATTATTGATAGTTCTATTTTTCTCCTCCCCTTTATCTCTTCAGGCTTGGCTGATAATAAACTGTAATGATTAACGTTAATATTCACGCAAGAGCTAAAGCTTAAAAATGTATGTAAGCCTATGTCGATTGCTATTATTTACTTTGATGCAGTTATTTTTATTGATAACCCCAAAAAACGTTCACTGGTATTCATCATGGTGAATAATAGTTGATGGATCTAATTCATAAACATGTATTTAGTTTATTGCTTCTATTGTTCATTGAAGATAGTAGACATGATTTCTAGTAACGATAATAGGCCAATATCGGGCTAGGCTTTCATGATTATCTT